ATAAGTGGTTTCATACTTGTGCAGAGTTACTCTTAATTAATGGTCTTCCTTGCCTGAAAAGTTAACAGAGACACACAGAATTGATGGTGCAGTATGCAATTTTATGTGATGTTCATGATCAACCAAAGTACATGGCACTTACTTGCAAATATCACTAACTCATTAAAGTTAAAAAAAACACAAAACAAAACAAGCAAACAATAAAAAATCACACAAATCATCGAGAAACAATAATATTCACCAGATGATAAAAGAATGCTGAGCAATTCTTGTACTGACTGATTGCAATGTGATTTCCATTGGATTTAATGCGGGTTGCAATGTAAACACTGTGACACAGATCCTAAAATAGATCTTTTGTCTTGTTAGACCTTGTTAGGTGGGAAAGTGAGTTTCCTGCCTGCAGATTTTGATCAATATTTGATGAAGATTGCTGATCGCGATTTTTTATTAAATTCTTATAACAGGGATGTACACTGTACTTAAATGCATAAATGAAAGAAGATGAAATCGGGTTAATTTGATCGCATTATCATAATCAATTTGATGTCAGAATGATCACCATCATTATTACATGTATCATTAATGAAGAATTAATGATGATCACAATAATTCTGTTAGTAAAGCAGTTAATTTGACCTAATTTCATGTGATTTCCTCTTATATCCTCTTATAGTATAGCCAAGATCAATTCATGCAAAATATAGATTAAAGTCTACCAAGCATAAAATCCACATTATATCTACTCCAAATCAGAATACAGAGATCTAGTTTTATGACAGTGTTTGCATCAATATTTCTCCTCAACGAATTGGGAAAATATGCTCTTATCCTAAATCAAATTCTGTTAAACGTTCAGAAATATGTTGTTGGATGAGGCAGATATGCTAAGGAGATGAACTCTTAACTTAAGTACAGGCTTTAGCACAGAGAGTATGGTATTTGAGCCAACTACATTATGATACAGGTATGTAACTAAAACTATTTTCCCTTAAGTCTGGATCCATGCATACATTTGTAAAATGTGAAAGAGTGAAGGGTGAACAGAGTCACTCAAGTTTGTTATCAGTATGACATTTCTAAGACAGTTTTTTTTTTTTTGGAGGCTGTGTTTGTATTTAGTTGAGTTACTTGAAACCTGTTCATAGTGATACAGATGAGCTGTCATGTTGGAAACCATTTTTCTAAATGAAATAGACTGCAAGGATGCGTTGCTTTAATATACTAGTCAATGTTTTTGACAATTTCAAAATGCAGCATATTCCACTCGATAATATAATTGCTAAGATCGCAGTGTGTTCACACACTGAGCATGTCTTCTATGTGTAGATGTATTCACATTTACATATACCGGTGCTTCTTCAGTGGAGGATTTGTTCTGTGACATTCAGTGTGGTTGTTTGTAGAAATGTTCACATTAGAGAGGTTTTATTCACTTTCTAAATTCACTTGGGAATATCACAATTCTTAAAGATAAAGTTGAGTTCTGGTCAAGCAATTGCATTGTGAAAGAAACGGTATGGAATCGATCAGAAAAGGTTGATCATCTAGCATATATGAGTATTGGTGTGTACTGCAAGGTTCTAGAGCAGGCCTTCTCAACTAGTTTATTAGAAGTGCCAATTTTTTTTTATATTGAAGTTGAAGTGCCAACCTGTATGGTTGGTGACTGTGTTGTGAGGGAGCGTAGCGACCGAGCCGATGCCGCGTGGTGTCCGCCCCCGGAAGCTAGTCGATTTTAGGGCTTTTTTAGGGCCCAGATGTGGCATTTTTAACACCTTTTTATTCCATAAAACATCAATCATAATTTCATATTGATGTGAAATAATTAGTACAATTCCTTGGTAAAATCTACACTGGAAGTAAATTTATATGTAGTTATTTTGGTGCAATAAACATGGAAAATGTCAAAATCCAGTGAAAATCAAACAACCAAAATGGCTTGCTTACATTTTGGGCTCAACTTCAACTGCGACTTTTGATTTTGCTGAGTTTTTAAATTTTGAAATATAGTTTTTTAATTTTTTCTTTCTTTGATTTTTAATTTTTAATTTATATTTAATTTTTTGGGGAACAGCCGCGCGCCACTCCGACTGACCGCAAGCGCCACTAGTGGTGCGCGCGCCGCCAGTTGAGAAGGCCTGTTCTAGAGTCATCAAACTGATAAGAAATTTGGTAAAGTTATATAAGCACTGCACACAGGAAGATGTATATGGGACTACACAAACATGGGGCATCAAAATCTGTCCCGATTTTTAAGCTGTTACATGCCATATTTAGAATATTAAGGCATTTGAAGAGCTACATGTACAGTGTATGCTTTTCAGGGAACATTTTTTTATCCAATGTTTTTCCACACTAGCATAATAAGAGAGTTTACAGATAGCACATGGTACAAATGACCCCAAATATCCACAGATCTTTTACACATGGAGAAGTTCCACTTTGAGCATCTTAGAATAATAACTGCCAAAGTCCTAGATATGCTTCATGAATACCTTTTGTTTGCCCTCTTGAAAAGAATACTTCCACCTGCGTGTCTTAGAATGTACTGTTGGTGCATAAATGAATAATGTTACATAACTTTCATGAGTGCATTTATCCAGTATTCATCTCTGGTGGGTGTTACCTTTTTGGTACACATGACCTTTATCTGCCCATGCGCAGATTGTATCTGTAAACTCCCTAATATAACAATGATAACGCTTACAATTTTTTTTTCACCTCTTCCCAGAACTCAACCTTCTCTTTAAGCCAACTGTCAGCCTTTTAAAAATTCACCCTGTTTTTGTCAATAAATTATGAAATTTATGGGTAATAAAGCTGTTCAGTCACCACCACGTGATGATATTTAGTTTTGAAAGTTGTCTGGAAAGTAAAACACAGCTATAGAAAAGAGCCCATCTCATTTCCTTTGATATGTAATCCATATAAAACCCTCTGTCAAGAACTTCCTCCCATCATTGAGTGATGTGCTTCTTCTACTCATGATCTGTCTCCTGTCTGTAGCTGTAGCTGGATTCAAGGCTTTAATAACTGTCTCTGTTTAGCTTTCTCTCAAAACTATTACATGCAGAGTGATAAATGTCATATTATTCATACAGTGGGTTTTGATATCGATACAAGCACACAAAGCTGCTCTTCAGTCTAGATCTACAAACCTTCATACTCGGGATATGTTGTCTTTCTTCCATTGACCGGTCTGTCTGCTAGACGTCTCGTATACATTTCATTTGAAATGATCCAGCATTTCAGAGAATTCCAATGCTCAGTTTTCATGTTTAACTTGGACACATGTACCCTCTCTATTTATGAGTTAGGAGGTCTTGATTTATCCTTTAAAAAGATCTGGTATTGATTTGGATTTGGATTTGAAAGTTTGGATAGCTGTCCAGAACTTTGTTGTGTCATGCATTGTGCAGCTCATTCTTATGAAGCCAGTGAAATCCATGATATGAAGTGGTAGTCTCATTTTTTCATGAACTTGAACAGTGAACATATATACCTTGCATCAAGAAGTGATCATATTTGAGTTTATCTTGTTGGTCTCATTATCTTTCATCATGTTTTTATCAAAGATTCATGCCTGTATATTGGTAAGTTAATTAGCATTTAAACATGTATGTGTCAATTGTACACATTTCATTGAAAATGGTTTGATTCTGATGCAGCATACATTTTGTATAAACAAGTAACTCAGTCACACCGTCAAATTGACTCCAAACCGACTCTAAACTGATCACTTTTTGTTGCCATTGGTTGTGATGCAATGGTCAGTAGTCGGTCTGGTGTCGGTCTGGTGTCGATCTGGTGTCGATCTACCTGGTGTGACTACAGCTACAATCACAAAGGTTTGTACGAACGATGCGTTCGTACAAATCTCCCTGTTTTTCCATTGTCTTCCCGAATTTCCATTGTCTAAAAATTACAGCGTTCCCAGCAGTTCGTAATGGCATTTGTGACCGAGGCTTTAGGTATCAAGCCTGATTAAAATGTACATACACTTTTTGACAGATATATTGTTTAAATCTACTACAGTACAGTAGATGTTCTTTTTTTGGTTTAAATTCAGAAGATATTTACTGCAAGAAGTTGTATTGTTTATGTCCAGACCTTATCCTAGTATTAAGCAGCCAGAGTTCTGTGTAGTGATAGAGTTTATAGCTACACTGTAGATGGGTATTTTCATAATTCAATGAGAAGGCAGTGTCAAAGTCATTAGGAATTAAGCTTTCTTTGGCATTATAAGTGAGGTTATTTTCAACTGTAGAAATGTATTGTATTGTAAGTCTAATACTGATTTAGTTTCACATGTGAGACATCCTGCTTTTCAAGACTGGTACTTCTCTAACCACTGATTGACAGAACCAAATAACAGTTACAAATTAATTACCTCACCTATTAAAGTCACCTTATAAAACCTCTACAGTGTGTCATACTGAGAGGCAGAGGCAGGTTATGTGTACAGAACAGGAGGAGTTATAATTTAGGGCCTAATTTAGACCAATTAGTCTTGCATGGGGAACCAGGAAGAAAAGAACATTTAGTTGGCCGGCACTGCCTTGATCAGCCCTTGGCCTCTGTGCACTGACAAATTATGAATGTTTGCTGAGCTGGTTGCGTATGGCAACACAGAAAATAACAACATTGCACTGCTAAATATAGTATGTCTTGCTGTATCACACTCGTTGAACTTCATGTACATGTATGCACATATTAAAATTGCTATTTTATTATTTTTACAGAAATTTTTAATAAAAAGTTAAGAACCTTCCCAATTTAATTGAACTGATTTGTTGCTACATTTCAGATTTTGATACCAGATTGAGAACAGGGAAGAAACTTCCATGATGTACATGTACCCTAAATGTAAAAGAAACACTCCCTAACTGTGGTATGATGTGTTTCACGCTGTGCCACCATTTTTATTTTGATCACGTTATGCGTTCTTCACATTTCATTCACGCATCATTCAATCATTGCACCATTTACCCTTACAGGATGAATTTGTAACAAAGATTCGTGATACACGGTTGCTTGATGATTATCCTGAAGACGACACTCTAGAGTCTACTGAGGCTGCTCCAGCTTACAACCCTTGGCCCCTGGATGAAGATACCTCTCCTGCCACCATGGCTGATCCATTGAGCGGTGAGATCTTAGTAACAGACTTACAAAACACACTCAAACCTGAGCCTGAGGAGGATGAGACACTCGATGATGCATCGGCTCATCAGGAGGACGATCCTGCTTCGTCAAGTGAGAGCGACATTGATGATGAGGAAGCAGAAGATTTGACGGAGGAGTTTGAGAAGGAGAGAGCAAAAGAAGATATGTCAGCAGATCACCATGGTGGTGGAGATGCACAGAAAGACGAGGACGGAGATGAGGATTTGTTTCCTAGAATAGATGATGATGCTGATAAAGACCAATCTGTTAAAATGGTTGATGTTTTAGAGGAGGAAGAAGAAGAGGAGGAGGATGATGAGGAGAAGGAGGAGGAGGAGGATAAGGCGGATAAGGAGGAGGAGAAGAAGGAAGAAGATAAGGAAGAAGATAAAAATGAAACTGATACCAGTGCAGATACCACAGACATTGAGGTAGATTCAAGAACAAGTCCTGTGCAAATAAATGTAGAGTTGTGTGAAGACTCTCTTGATAGCACAGATGGCATCACAGATACAGATGGAAAGACACTGGAATCACAGGTATGTTATGTTATGTTGTAAAGCTATTCACTTTGAAAGGTTTATGTGAGTATTGGGATGCCTCTGTTATGTTGAGCACAGCACTTGAAATTCATCACAGTATGGGCAGTTGATATTTTTCCCCTCACAAATATGCCAATAAACCACTTAAATTATAGGCGAACGATGCCATATTTTTGTATCGATTCACATTGTATATTCAGTGGATAAGCAGCTTTTTAATTGGAATGTTAGTAAATCTTATTTTGCACTTTGCTCAGAATGCTGCTTTTGTTGCTGCACAATGTACACCGCACCTGACTTGTATTTTTGAACATTCATTCATTCAAACTTGAACATCACTATTTGCTTGACATGCATGTACTGTACTAAATGAAGTACAGTGTACATGTACGTATACATGTATCAGTTTTGCTTTTCTAGCAAAAAAAATGTTTCGTTTGAAACCTTGTATAAATCTGCAATATAAGAATGAGGATGGTTTTAAAACCATGTAAGAAATATAAGCTTGATCTTGAGGAGAAAGGAAATAACCAAGCACATGTCAATATTTATATTTTGTTATTATTTCAGGGTAACACAGCAGGTACATCAGAGAAGACTCCACAAGAGAAGAAGAAAGAAAATGTTCCAGATTTTGAAACATTCCTTGCAGAACTGGTAAGATTTATTACACATCTCTCTAGATTATAATGCATTTCTAGAAGTCACCCTCAGGCCATCTCAATAGCTTTGTGCATTGCCTTTTTCATGATTTAAAAAAAAAAAAATCTATCACACTTTAATCAAAACACAATTTTCTTTTTTAGGCAATACAATATGTATTGAAATTTTCCTAAAGTTAATTTCTTGGATGTCATTGTGATCAAGTTGGCAGAAAAATTGGAATTAAGATGTAGATTCTACATACAGTATACCTGTATAGATGTAGTGAGTTATATACAGTAAGTACCTGTATGTATCGTCTGTTTGGAGCCAGAAGGACGTATACTCATATTCTTTGAACAGAGTTAATACCCCTGATCAGATGGTATGGTTTCCACATGAAAACTTTACAGTATTTAAAGCAAGAAATAGTTACTTCCCCAGTTCAAAACAAGTGATGCCATTGCAGTAAAGCCAGGCAGGCAGTCTTGTTTAATCTACATGTACATGTATACGTGTAGCACTGAACCCTCATGTGGTAGTGAGTGGGAATGGCCGGTAGTTACAATCCTATTTTGGGCAAGTCTATTTTTGAGAGGGGGATTAGTCGAGATTAAAGTGAGCTTACAATGATGTGATTCATATCCCTGTATCTAAGCCATTCACAGACAGTATTCAAATAGTACCTACTGTACATGAGCAAAGCTACATAGCATGGATATTACTAGAGTGTGTTATACAGGCCAGGCTGGTGATATGCCAGTTCTATCCTATTTCAAAGTGTTAATATTGTACCGGTATGTGAAGTGTAAAATAGATTAAGTGATTGATTTGGTACAAAATGGTATACTATATTATTTTTGTTTGTTTGTTTGGGGGGGGGGGGGGGTCAGTTGAGAGCAAATTTTATCTTGACATCAACATCAAGTAGAGCTTTAAACTTGTTATTGAGAGGGGGGGGGGGGATGAGATGTACAGGACACCCTATAGCTATCTCATAACACTGATTGTACACCATCCTACTTGTGTGTGTGTGCTGTGCTTCCTGGTAACGTGAGTTATACAGCTGTTTACTTTGAAGGTCTGTGTTTCACCAAACCCTGCTGTTATCACAATGGGATAGAAACCTTCAATAGTAGATAAGATTTGTAATACATTATAGTTGTATGTCATGCAGTATGGGTGCACCACCACAACAAGTATTTAGTAGCCTGTCTCTTTTCAAGCGGCATTATGATTAATCCTGATTTCAGATTCAGAATAATACTTGTCATGTCGTTAAATACATTTTTTTGTAGATAGGCAACCAGTGGACATTCAAAACAAGCTGAAGTGTACTCCAAGCAAGAGAGTAGGAGCATCAAACAGTTTTTAAAAGTTTTTCAAATGAATTTCATCTTTCAATACGTGATTGATACCATATATTTCAGAATTCAGTTGATTGTAATCGTTGAAGTTCGTCTTGATATCTTGTGTAGAAACCTTAATGTAACTTTTTTGTCAGGGAAGTAGAAATAGCAATATACATGTATACCTGTCATATGATATACATAATGTACATGTCGTCTGCAATGAAATTGGCAGTACATTTGCACATTCTTGTAATATAGACTATCGATAATTAGTTACAGCATTGAAAATGCTTGACAATAAATGAATGTGAGCCAGCATCACAAAACCACCAAAAGTCACCAGAAATTCTAAAAGATGAGATACTCAGTTTCAAAATGATATAAATCATCAGAATGGGATGCTCCTATCCCAATGAATATAGAGAAAAATGTTTACCTACCTTAGTTGTAAAGAGTGTTACTTGTGAAAAAAAAACTAATTTAAAGTCTGTAGTCTCACTCTGAGACTACAGACGACAAAAGGAACTAGGTACATGTATATAGGAAATTCTGTGAAGGCCGGATCAATTAGATTGTCCTATAATGTTGTACACTAAATAAGCACATTGTGCAATTTTTTTTGTCCATCTATCATCACAACAGCTTACTCTATTTTGAGTTATAATAGGAGATGAAAATGAGTCCATGAGCCAGAATTGTACAAGAAATGAAAACTATGATAACAAATTCAAGATCAGACAAACATACATGTAACCTACCTGTTCAGGAAGTGTTAACAATCATAATTTGAGCTCTAACTGAAATTCATACCATGCGACCTTTTTAAGGTTTTGTGGTGCCTCGTCACAAATGTCAAGTTTTTGTTTTTGTATGACCCCCATACATACTCCTCCTCCTTTTCCTTGGTTTTTATATATATTTAATTATTTATAACTATCTAATGTGTGACAGTGTTGATTGATCCTGATTGAACAAAGCAAAATTTAATTACAGTTAAAAAAATTTATGTGTATTCCAGGGTGTGGATCCCAGAGAGACGCTAGATGTCGAGGTCCAAAAGTCTCGGGCCAGACTGAGTAGACTTGGTCCTATGGCCCAGAGGAGACCTATGACGAAACGGTTCTCAGGAGGAGATGAAGACGGATCTAAATGGATGTTCGTTGATTCAACAGGTGAGTCAAGATTTAAATATAATGTATTGAAAGATGATGGTGGAATTCAACCTCTTACCAAATGATACAAAGTCATTTGTATATCTGGGGACATGAGATTATCTTCTTCCGTACCCCCCCCCCCCAACAAATAAAAGACCCTCAAGTGATTAATGTTAAAAGAGGGTATAGAGAAAAATAAAAGTTATAAACAAAGGCTGACATGGAAGTCAGTTTGCACTTATCATTTTATGTGTGCTAAATTGTTATGTTGTGCACGGACTGGTCTACTTACAAGTAGCTTTGTTCTATGTTCAGAGTGTAATTTCTTTGACTTTTCAGTAATTTGATTATTTTTCTGTGCTTTTATACAGAACCTAAACCACAAAGATCAAGTATAGATGAGGAGGATGAGGAGGAGAAAGAGACCCCAGTAAAGGCACCTGCCCCTCAACCAGCCAGTAAGCCAGGCATGAGGAAACCTCCAGGAGGAATAGGACTAGGTCCTATGGTGCTTCCAGGTCTTGGGACAGCTCTTGGGGGTGCCAAGCTAAAAGTAAGTGAAGACCAGAGGATAGACACCCTCTGAAAGGTCTCAGTCTTGGAATAGATAAGGATAAATTCATCCCCTGAATGGATAGATCTAGATAAAGACAACCCTGGAAGGTTAGGTCTAGACCCCATAATGCTTCTAGGTTTGTGGGTAGACCATGATAGAGACACATCCTGATGGAACAGTTCTTGGCCCCATAGTGATTACAAGGCCTGGGGCTATGGTTATGTATCTAAGTAAATCCAAATATTCCAATAGGCCAGGGCTGAATTTCCAATGTTGCATAGTCAGACACTAAAAATACATTGCTGGAAAGATAAAAATTGCAACCAAGGATTTGCCCGCGAAGCTTGAAGCCTTCTAGTTTATTTTGGTTTCATTGAAAGAAGTGTGATTTCTGGATTGTGTGATGAGTTTATACATGTTTATTACTGGTAGAGGAGAGACCTCAAGTGTGCACTTGTCCTGTCACCAAACATATAGATTGACATCAGGAATGTAAGTTAACTCAGAAACAGCGGGATGGCTCAAAGAAAGATTGCTGTTCATTTGGCTTAAGAATTGTGATATTCACTTGTGCCTTTAGATACACAGAGGTTTACTACCCGATGCCCAATGCCAAAAACTAAATATTGAATAGATATGAAATTAGTGCAAATATTGAGGCTCAGTAGATATATTCTATATTTCAGTGCTTTCCCTGAAGGCAAAGGATGTTACATCTAGCTGTTGACTCAAGGCTCTTTCAGATATATAAACCCCAGCTGGTTTTTAAAAATTTAAATGAATGGCTAATATGCGCAATGATATGTCCTATGTGTCTTCACCAACCTCTGTTTTATCAGATACAGAAATATGAAGTGCATTACACTTAACACATCCTGAGAATTAAAAAAAAAAAAGTTGCTGTGGTTTACCACCTTACATCTGAATAAGTCTTATATTTATCCTCTGTCAATTTCTCTTACTGTAAATACCAGAAAACACCAACCAGTACACCGAACAAAACCTTCCAGAAGTCTATAGAGGAATCTAAAGTGAGCATCTCAAAGTCAGAACCAACCAGAACAACACCTTTATCATCTCTCAAGAAAACCCCTCCCCCTGCATCAAAGGCTCCTCCCCCTGCATCAAAGGCTCCTCCCACTACGGCTACTAAGCCCCTCCTCATCAAGAAGAAACCGCTAGCCAAGCCACGCCCTGCATCACAGGCCATGCCCTCAAAGGAACCCTCTCAGGTAGAGACTTTTATCTTGCTTTAACAAAAAGTTGGAATAATTGATATTTAATGAAGTGAATGCTTTTTATTGCTTAGAATTTGTGAAGTGTGTATGCTGTCCATTACAGTGTATTAACAAAAAGAAAATGCTTTGATGTAAATTGCATTTTGCAAATTGTGATATCTCTATAAAAACAATAAATTATAGTTATGTTCAGAGAGGGAAACTCAGGAAATTCTAAGTGGGTTGATTGATGACAATCTTTAACTGTACCGTGCGACTAAAGGGTAAGACCATTTTAGTTCATGCTTAAAAATACAGATATGCCATTATATGTGAGATACGTCATCCACCGTTAATTCACATTTAAGATAAGTATGATTTTTTTTTTTTAGCCTGCCTGGTTGAAAGAGTTGAAGTCTAAACCCAAGCCAGAAGTGAAGGAGACAAAGAAAGAAGAAGATAAATTAAACTCAGATATCCTCCATCCTAAGAAGACGACTCCTTCAGAGACTGCACCTAAATCACCATCCTGGATTGCAAACAGCAAAACAAAGAAACTGCCTCCTATTCCGTAAGTCTCATTTTTATTCAGCGTATCAGTCCATTTCATTGAATGTTTGATGATTAGAGTTTGCACTTCATGTACATAATAGAACCATTTTTCTGGCTGACATCATTTATTATTCTGAAAATACTAAAAACTGTAAAGATATTTGCGGCAGTTTTGATCATCATAATGTATGAAGTGTACATTAGTTTATTGTGAATCTTTTCCTTCTTCAGAATGAAGATGTCATTGTTTAGTTGAGGAATAACCGAACACAGATCAAATGGTCCAGTGTATGGGAGTCAGTGCCAGAACTAACATCTTTAATATGGCAGCTACATGTTTTAATCTACACTTGCCACCCTTTACCCTAGATAGAATGAAATCTAGGAGCATTGCAAAAAAACTAAATTTGTGGATGCAAATTCTTCATTGTCTGGGATGCATGCATTAGAGTGTTTTAAATAGATTAAGAATGTTCTACCTATGAGAGGAGGTGGTGCACAATGATGTTTGTTTGCTAAGTGCAGTCAACTTCTTGTTGCGTATTGAAATATTCATGTAATGCATTACACATTAAGTATGAGACGGTATTATTATCACTGAGATATGATGATTTGGATCTCTTTATGCTGATCTGTAGGTCTTCATCTAGTACACCAAAACAAGAAGTAGAGAGCTCAACATCTAACATACCTGCATGGAAACAAGAATTAATGAAGAAGAAAAAGGCACCAGTACCAGCGCCAAGCAGTGAGTCTCCATCTTCTTCTATTTATATCCCCTTTTTTTTACTCCAGTATATATACTTTGAGAGATTTGTTACGGAAGACATTGATGTCTTATTATCTCTTATTTGCCATAGAGAGCAAGAAAGGTAAAGACAAGGAAGGAAAGAGATATAAAACAAAAATGAGTCATAAAAGGAATAGAAATTTACAACAGGGGGAAGAGAAATACAAAAAGAGATTGGCAAAGTGAAGGTGTTATGAGAAACAAGCAGAGAGAGAGAGAGAGAGAGAGAGAACGCAAAGGAAAGCGAGCAACAAACGGAGAGGCTAGGACCTGTCTGGAGTTTATGCCTGGTCCTTCATTTAATTATCACATTCTTACACACATTATATCCTCACCATTACCACTCACACTGACAGTTATATGCATAAATGACAAGTAGCTGGACATCCATCCATTGAGAAATGCGTGTATTTTTAGAATCCTAGTACATAGTCAATACAGGTAGATTAACAATGGGTTGAAGCATAGGGTCACAGGAATGTCAAGTTAACAGGATATTGGTCGCTCATATCGGTTGCTGCATAACTGTGAAACCAGCTAATTACTGCTGTGCAGACGGCTTCATCTGTTGACCACTTTAAGAAATTACTTATTAAGTCACATCTATTCTGCTAGAAATTGCTTTATTACCAGCCTAAATATATTGTACAAATGATGCATGTTCTCATTCGTTCATTATACGATCTATCCGCACTCGAGTTGAGGCTGTGTGTATCTATCGCACGTGTGATAGATACACACAGCATCAACGAGGGCAGATAGATCCTATAATGAACGAATGAGAACATGCATCATTTGTTTTATACAACGAAACTCCTAGATCCTTGTTATTTGATGTAAAAAGAATTAATTCAAGATTGTTTTGTGACAGTATAGATATAGCAAGCGTACATACCTCTACACACATTTACGCATAGTGCTGCGCAAAAATAGGCCCATGCACACAAGTATTAAGCGCTCTAACCTCTACGCCCACTACTGCGCGGTCTGAAAACGAGTTCAATAGTACTGGGAAATATTGCACTCCTTTTTATGAAAACGAGTCCAATAGGCTCAGTAATTGAATCACACGTGACCGCGCATGACCAATCATTTGATTAGGATCTGGGAGTGAGTTGTACATTATGTACTTAACTGATCTCTGAGAAGTGACTTATCTTTGTTTATAAGTGATCCAAACATTGTGGAGCGGTGTGTGCAGTGCTTTGTAGCTTTTTTGGGGGGGGGGGGGGGGTCATGCAAACTAAAAAGCATATTCAAATTGGATGATTATTGAGAGAAGGGCATTTCTAGGATATAAATATTATGAACAATGGTCTTAACCCGGCTAGTCTGAACACAGCTCTCTCTCCCATCCTAATTATGTTAGTGTGTGGGCATGATTGAGGATGTATCATATTAAAGATATAAAGAGTCTCAGCATTCTCTTCATGGTTAATTACTCTCAATTGTTTGGCTCATTGATGTCTATATCCTGTTTGTTGAATCTCAGTGACAGTGGCATTCATTGGGTAGGTTTCTCATGGGTGAAGTTCACAAGCACTGATCTCTCCCCCCCCCCCCACCCATCTGCCTCTTGTGAGATATCTATGTTTTCTTACCTAGTAGGTTTATAGGTTTAGTCAAAACTTTCTCAAGGTTCATCTATGAAGTATTCACATCATTTTACCTGACATGTAATACTTTTTGTGGACATTGTTGGAACCATGTTTGCTGCTCAAAGCTCAAGCACAATGATCTGATTGTTTGATATGTGCTTTGTATTCCTGCTAATTATTGTGCATGTGTGAGTATGTGTGTGTGTTTGGGCCTTTAACCACTTAAATCCACATGGGATGGTGAAATAGACCATCTAGCATATTATATCAAAAAGAAAGATGGGATGAGTGAGACTAGATAGAGAAAGAATGGAAACAAGAGAATATGTAGAGAAAGGAAGAAAAACAGAAAGGAAATAAAATAAATTCGAAAAAAGAAAGAATGAGAGAGGGGAAGACTGTGTTTTGACTCTCCATGTTCAATGTCCATATTTTCTTAATTTTTCATTTTTTCTTACTATTTTTTATTTAAATTTCTGTTTCTAGGTGTTAATAAGACACCTGTCAAATCTCGGATTTTGCCAAAGTCACCTACCAAATCTCCAGCTAAACCCCCAATTGCGAGAAAGCCCGGTTTTCCTCCTCCCAAGCCATCCCAGACGGCTGGTACGGATAAGGGTTCAGACTTGAAGCGAGAGGAGGAATCAAGAGATGAGACTGACTCCAAGAAGATCAAGCTATCTCAGGTTTGCACCATCTACATTCTCATTTTGAAGTCAATTATGATCCAAACTCTAAGAGAGTAGAGTAGAATGATGTTGATGGAGATGTTATGTCTGAGATACATGTAGCCTTTGACCCATTAAAGTTTTGTTTACTTAATATTGGGATAAGAGTAACAGTTATGCAAAGATTTCATATATGTACATAATATTTAAATTACTGAAATTAGTGAACATGAATTTGTTTTTGTTTCACATATTAAAAATAATCTGATATTGTTACTCCTCTTGTAGCCTGATGTACCTCATCAGTCTAAATTCTTTCAATGCTTTGAGAACTGCATAATTGCTGGAATGATACCAGACTAGTTGAGTTGATATTTATATGCAGTGGTATTACGTGTGTGTTTGCAGAGTATGGACTCTTCACTTGATGAGGAAAAGATGGATGTTAGCCAGGAGGAGACACCAGGGGAAACACCAGAGGAAAAGCCAGAGGAAACATCACAGGTGCCAAAGGATAATGAGAACAAGGATGACTGCCAAGGAAAAGATGTTGAGATGAAACAGGAAGAAGAAGAAGAGAAAGAAGAGGAGAAAGAGGAAGAGGTGAAAGTAGTGAAAACTGGAGAAAAGAAAATGATTATTATAACAAAAGAAAAATCAGAGAAAGAAGAAAACAAACCATTCAAACCAGAAGAGCATAAGGAAACCATGGTATCAAGGAATGATGGTAGTCAAAATACTGTTAAAGAAAAGCAGGATGAAGAGAAAAATAAGAAGGGAGGCGTAAATTTGGAAGTAATGAAAGATGAGAAAAAAGTTGAGAAACCTATCGTTTCAAAACCAAAAACAGATATACCAAAAATTAAACAGGAAGAAACCAGCAAGGTGAAACCTGTTAAAGTATTTATGAAAACAGACTCTAAGAAAGAAGAACCAACAAAGAGAAAGCAGAGGAGAAGAAAGTCACAATTGTGACAAAATCAGAAAGCAAGATGGAGGCACCAAAGAAACAAGAACAGAAGAAGGTGACGATTGTGACTGAGGATAAAAACAGTGATTCTGACTCCAGCATGCCTAAATGGAAACGAGAAGCACGTGAGAGGATGCAGAAAAGAAAGATGTCTGGCGGCAACATCGTTGTGAGTCTCATCCTACCTTGGCACGGTGTTGTTTGGTTCATCCCTCTCTCCTTGCACCTTGTCCTTTATACCATTCTTGTCTATCTTGCACCTTGAAGTATTGAAAGCCTTTCCCTGCAAGTTCTTCTATGCTTATCCTTGGTTTACCTTTCTGTGTCTCTCTTTCAGACCTGTATGCCTTTGCACTGTGATTTGTGTTCCTTGAAAATATTCCTTTTTACCTTTCCATTGCAAGTCTCACTGTATTGAAATGTTTCCCGTCTTGATTCCTCCTTACCCCCACCCCTTCTCTCTCTTTCTCTCCTCTCCCCTTTCTTTCCCCATTATTTCTGTCTGTCTGTCTGTCTTTCTTTCTCTCTCTTTCTCTCTCTCCCCGTCTCCCCTCTCTCTCCCCCCTCTCCCCTCTCTCTCCCCCTCTATCCCCAAGACTGTCTGCCTTCTCTGTCTGTCTCTGTCTCTCTGTCTGTCTCTCTATCTCTGTCTCTCTCGCTCTCTCTCTCTCACATTCTCCCTGTGATTGTCTGTTTTTGTCTCTTTATGTCTTGCTCCATGGTTACATGATCTGTAACTTCTCTTCTTCCCTCTCTGTCTCTCTGTCTGTCTCTCTATCTCTGTCTCTCTCGCTCTCTCTCTCTCACATTCTCCCTGTGATTGTCTGTTTTTGTCTCTTTATGTCTTGCTCCATGGTTACATGATCTGTAACTTCTCTTCTTCCCAACCTATTTGCTATTTTCTTTATGGGAGCATAAGTCTGGCTTGCCTTAAAACTTCACTTTATTGCACTTATTTCCTGCAATACTCTTGCTGTCTCTCTTCACCTGGTCTGTCTTTTCATTCATACATCAATCCCTCTCCTTGAGTCTGTTCCTGTTTGTATATCCCTCTTTTACCTGATATGCATGTGATACCCATTCTTCCCCATACTCTACTTTCTCATATTTTCTCTTGCACTTTAGTAAAGCCCTTTCTGATTGTAAGAGTTCATTTTCAACGTTTTTCTTCAATTTGGTTTGTGCTATTGAATTCTTCACCTCCTACCTTCACCTACATGTACCTGCCAATGAGGCAGCTGAAGAATTCATAGCACAAAACACATGTCATTTTGGCTTCTCTCTGCTCTTTATTTAAATGCTCTTTGCATGTAATGCCTTCCCACTCTTGCCTTCATTGTTTTTGCCTGTTATGCCTTTTGTGAGTTATTTGTTGTTCTTGTCCTTGATCACTCTACCGTAAATCCTGCTTGCCCCTCATCCGTTGTTCAGATCAATCAATGTGTTTCTATAATAACTCAAGTTACTCCTATATGTGGGACTATTGTCAGACCATCCACTATGCCCATTTTTAGAGGTATTTTCTTACTTATTATTTTATGTCCAGTATCTTGCTCTGCTCTATTTTCATACCATATTCATTCCTCCTCAACCATTTCTGTAGATCATTTCTTTATTTTCACTGTTTCAAAAATTCAATAAATCCTTCCCAAGCTACTCTATTACCCTTTTCACATCTACCAAATATTGCTTAACCCCGGGAAATAGGTGGGGCTAAGGGGGCTCTTAGCCCCACCAATTCCTTCCTTAGCCCCACCAATTACCCGGGGTAATTTTAGCCGGCTTTCTGTTCACATTACGTTTTGCCAAAGTGGGCTAACCCCACAAATAGTACGGGACTATCTGGCCCTGCAAAATAGCAGGGTTAGCCGGGCAATTGCGGGGTTAGCCGGGCAATTGTGGTGCTAAGCTGCGTAGTGTGAATCCGAACCGGGCTAAGGAGAAGCGGGGCAAAGCAACAGCCAATCACAGACAGCGTGGTCGTGTGGTCGTGAATTTGCATTTATCGCGCGCTATGCATGCAGTTCACGTTACGCATGCATGCAGTTCACGTTTAGTCGAAAGGCGCATGCGCGGTAGCAAAAGCATTAATATTCATGAGCTATCGAATAGTCCGGGGCTAAGGCGAACGTAGTGTGAATCGCGTGAAATTTCTTAACCCCGGCTAAGCACATAGTCCGGGGTTAAGAAAATAGATGTGAACAGCAAAAAAAATAGTATGGGGTTAAGGATAGTATGGGGTTAAGGATAGTCCGGGGTTAAGAAAAATAGATGTGAAAAGGGTATATATGTTTCCTCCTTTCTTTTCTCCTGGCCTGTCATCAGTTTGTTGATCTTCATTATAAGATGTGTCATCTATAGGGTGGATGTCCTTCTCTTTGCTGTTCTTCAATATTAAATGGATCATAAGGGGATATCATCGTCATCCTGCTCTCTTTAGATCAATCTCTGCTTTTTACTCAATGCAAGCACAAAACACTGTACATGATTATGCATCTGTCAAAAAAAATTATGCGTATGATTTATTTGAAGCAAATCACAATTTTTCTGCCTCATTCTCTGCGGATAAAATTCATCTGTTGCACTTCTTCATTCTGCACTGGGTGTTTGGGGTGTCTGGTTTCTTATATTCCTTATCTTTTGCTATTGGTTTCAATCTTCTGTTATAGCTTTCATGTTTATTTCTGTTGTGCACATGTTAAAAAGGTAGTAGCATTGACTTAAAAAGAGCTTTTAGCTTTGGAATTTCAGCCTCAAAATGTTGAATAATTACTTGAAACTCCACCTCCTACAGTTGTTGACTATTATGATGATAGAACAATTTACTTTTTTATTTGGACTGCATGTCTGAGGTTTGTGCCAGTAGAGTAGCTTTATGGTGTTTTTGCTTAGAAACAGGCGTCCTTTTACTTTTCAGATGCTATTTGGTTTTGGTAAACTCATTGTAGTTTTCAGCTCAAGTTATGTTTTTAGTTTATATTCCAAAGCTTAACATTGTATTCAAGCAAATACAAGTCAATGCTACTATCTTTGAAGTATAACTTACTATTCTTGCCTTTTTTCAACACCGTTATTTGATTTAAAGTCAAATTGTTCTATTGCACTGAATTCATTCTGTGTTGGTTATTTATGGGTGTAGCCGTTTTGTCATTATACATGTATGTGTGAAATTTCATTCTGTTACTAATTTCTTTGAAGGACTATTGGTTTTTTATACTTCTCTTTCTTGTAAGAGAAATCGTGTATATGAAGGAAATTAATTTGTTAAATTTAAATTGTTGGGGTGCTACAAATCAGGCCAAAGTGTTAAAGATAGATACAAATCTATTGGATTTATGAAAAGACATGGAATAGCTTAAAGTCCACCATAGAATTGCATGTAAAGTCATGACTTATGTGTATGTCAGGTAATTATGGAAGGCCGTGAGTTCCCACATGAAATAATAGGGACTTTTAGATTTGCGTGGACTGATAGGTAGTACTTCCATTCAAGGCAGTGCTTTAAAAGGACGTCGATCGTAGCATAGACCTATTGTCTTCTTGCGAATCTAAAAGTCCTTAATGAACATTTGTCATGAACGTACATAATTGTTTCCCCAAGATTTCTAAAATAAAGTGACACGTATTCATAATTCAACTCATAAAAATCCTGTTATCCCATCATACCATGATTACCGTATGTACATTGCATCATTCTTATAATGACCCCTAACCTCTGACCCTCTGCAGCCAATGAGGTCACCCAAAGATACGATAGAGACAAGTAATAACAACACTCCGCTATGGAAGAAAGAGCTGGTGGAAAAGAGGAAGCTATTTCCTAAGATGCCCTCACTTGACAACGAAGAGAAAGGATCTGTTGAGTCACAGAAGTCAGAAAAAGTGCTTAAGAGACATACCATTGCAGCAGGTTAGTGCACTAGCTGCCTATTCAATCAAACATACTTGAGATAAAGATCAAGTGGTACTTTATAGCTTGATTTAAGAGGTTTGAAATTCTAACCATTACTCTTAAGTGCTTTATTTGTTATACAATGTACATACTATACACTCAAAGGCTTTTGTCAATTGGATGGCAATAGATTGGGTCCATTTTTTCTTGAATTTTATAGAAAACAAAATTAAATTTTTAATATGATGATGTTATGTGATTTTTGGACATTAAATACACAATAATAAACAAAATAAAAAATATAGCTTTTGTAAACTATGAATGATCAAATACATGTGGGGAATTCTTGTCATAACATTTTGTAAATGTTTTAAGTTGCCAATATTTCTGTACAGTGGAACATTTTCTTCTACTTTTCATTGGATTGCAGAGGTTCCAACGATCAGCGTACCTGCAGGTCATAAAATGGGCACTCCAACATGGAAACAAGAACTAGAGAAGAAGAATGCTCGTCTGGCCAAACATCTAGCCGTTAAGGATGCAGGTAATTACTCCTCAGTCCGATCCCTATCATCGCTTTTAATGCCTCTACAACCAAGCCAAGCCAACCTTTTCTGAGAAAGCAAATCAATTCAATTTCCACCCAAATTGATGTGCTCCTTGTCTATGCACACTTAAGCAGCTTAAATAGGTGAATAACTCATTCCCAGCGTTGTTAGAAACTTCTTCACATTAAACTTTGAAGTAATACTAAGTATTGTAGAATGAAAAATAACCAAGAAGATAAACATAAAGTACAATTATTCTTTGAAAGGACAAACATTCTGTTTATTTGTAAAATAGAAACACATGTTTTATGCTGTTTTCTCTCAGCATACCTGTATGAAGAAGGAAATGACAATCATGTACTTGGTGTTCATGTAAATTCATGCCAACAAGACAACAAGAGAAGACTGTGCGATTGTCAACCTATAGCTTTTGTAAATATATTTGGTTTAACATTCTGTCATTTACAACAGCTGTATCTCAATAAACCATAAATCATTGGTCATTAAGGTTTATGTGACCAAGGCTTTACAAAATCATCAACTATAATTGTAACAAATCGATTCAATAAATCAAACCTGTAGCTTTACTGACATGGAATTAATCTTTGCAAAGATGGTTTGTATGATTTATAGATAATAACATTGAGGCAAGAGTTGATAGATTCTGTGGCAAAGGTTATGTTAAATCACCTGGGGCCACTTTTTTTAAAACTTTCTCAAGTCTATTGTTTACTGGCATCCCATAGAAAAGTGTGTTAATTCTATAACACATTCTATGGGATTTCCAAGAAGTTAAGAATTGTGACAGTTGCATGAAACAGCGCCCAGATGGGAACTTGCTTTGAAGAGAAGAGAAATGGAAATTCAATAGTTCCTAGGATTTCTGGAATTATACACAAAACTTCTGCTTTGAAGCCTCCCCATCCTGTGATGGTGTTGGAATATTTATTCTAGTGTGCTGGGAGTTTGAGGTTGCACAGCTAATGCTGCACTCAGTGTGAAATGCAATAAATGTTTTTCTCTCTTTTTCAATCTTTATGACTCATGTACCTGTCTTGTAGCAATTGATTTTGATTTTTCTGTTTTGAAAATGTTCCATGTAAAATGCTCTTTGCTCTTACATGTATGTTCTTCCTCTAGTATCCAATTATGCTAGGATCCCTTTTTCTCTTTTGAATGTCAATATAGGTTTCTAAAGTAGCCAAATTTATTATATTTAATAGTCTTATACTTCTATTTTAAAAAAACTTAAAAAAACAACAAACAAACAAAGTTACAAACCAAGCGATTATTTCAGAAAATTGTGTCATATATATAGCAGTTGCAAAGAACTTACATGTACTGTACATGTATCATACAATTATATATTGTGTCTGTTATCTGAAGTAAATAAGCAGACTGTAAAATGTAATTTCTTTTTTTTCAATTCTCTCCTGTTTCTATAATTCTTTACAATCTTTCTCTCTTATTGACTCTGTCTATTGATGTAGAAAACTAAATGATACTGCGCATTCTATGAAAGCTAATTGTCTTTGCTCTTTTCAAACTTCTTCCCCTTTGCCTTCATTCATTTAACCCCAAACCACTGTTGTTTGCATTGTTGATTATTATTTCATTGTCTTTTTGTGCTGTGTCCTTCTTTTATTTTGTGAAATAATTTTGTTGCTTATATTTTCCCATTATCTAACCATCCATCATTACTTAACGTTACCATGTCATGATGATATATGGTATATGTCATTTTCGCTTTTATGATCATCATTACGTCTACACTTTCATGATCTTCATTACATCTACACTTTCATGATCATCATTATATCTACATTCTTCAACCCAAATTTATTTGTCTTAACCATACTCGCACATATCACACTTATCTACGTATCTTCCATATTTCCATTATTATTTATCTTTCATCAATTTATGTACATCATGTTTTATTTTGTGTTTAATATCACACATCCATTTTAACTGCATCCTGTCTTGCACTACTTCATCTATATCACACAACCTTCCCTCACTTACTCTCCCTCACTAATCCTTCCACACTAACCATTCTAATCATCACCACACCCCACCCTATGCACGTACCATCTTACACCCCTCCCCTATCCCCACCCATCTGTATCACCACATAACCTCCCTTGTTAGGTCCTGAGATCAAGCCTCCTATTGATGGTGTTAAACAGCAGCCCGTTCCCGAGCTCTCCTAATGGTATAAAACATCACTTTGTATTTAAGAAAAATCATTAATATCTGATGTGTGTAATATCTATCTTGTATGCATTGTGGAGGGAAAATACTCTTCATCCTAAGCGCACAGTTGTGACAAGATTGTGGCTATCGCTATGTATTAAGAAAAACAAAACCAAACCGCTATCAAATTGCAGACAAAGAATTACCATGAAAAAGCACTGTCTTTGACATGTATGTAAGCTATGAATCCTGTACACTTATTAAAAGTTAATTAATGGGAGTGTGATAAAAATATCAATGGTATAATATTCAAAGAGTTGATGATTTGTCTATCATTTAATGTTTCTTAAACATTTTTTTTGTATGAAGTGTGATCTTTAATCCTTCTGTTGACAACATTTAGTAGAAGTTATTGGTGTTTGTTTCCGTAATGATTCTTTTCCTTAAATGGTATGTTTCTTTTCATTTTCAAATCATTTTGTTAGGATAAGTGACCTACATTCATGAAGGATAGCAAACTATCTGGCATGCCTTGTTTATTACATCATCTTACATGAAACAGATATACTCTGTGGTAGGCATATATCAATGGTTATGAAAGTATCTTGAATTGCAAAACTATTATTATATCTGAAGTTTTATTAAAAAGATTGTATTTTTTCTCAGTAATGGAATATGGACAGTGATCGAATCCATCATTGAAGTGATTAGGAAAATTGTCAAAATTTACCTGAAACCTTGGATTAGTAAAAGGAAGAAAAAAAAGTGTTGTTAGGTTCTTACAATTGGAGATGTTCCTTTTCGATACTAGGTTTATGTTTACATTTTTTAGAACGTACACTGTACACAAATATTTTGGGGAACTGAGTCACACAAAAATAGTTTGACAGTGATGACTGACGACTGAGCTCATATTGGATAGATCAGAACTTGAAATGTCTTCAACACATATTATTCTAGTACATAAACATAGTTTATTTACTAACTCTCATTTTCCTCTTTTTCCATCTTCATCTCCATCTCGTTCCCTCTCCCTCTCTGCAGAACGAGACAAAGATTATTAGAGTGAAGCATCTTATCCAGGGATTCAGAAAGAACTATTACACAAGGAGAGGATGCATGCAGGATCAACCCTTGAAACGAATAATTGTCTGATCCAGTTCTAAGTAGTGAAGTGTTACTTTGGCATCTTCCAAAACTGAGATAGGGGTGCATAATTGAGATATCTTATATGATATCTGTTTTTGAAATAATCCCCTGCTCTTAAACCTATGAAATTCATGAAATTTCTTTTGATTCATTCCTAAAATTTCTTTTGATTCATTCCTGAATGTTTGACTTCATTCCTGACTGTTTGACTTCATGTTTTGTGAATTGTTTTATGATGTAATGGAGAAAATAATTCTTACAAAAAATGTGGAGAAACATTGGAGAGACCAAAGCTAGCAAATCGGATTTCTTGACTGTAGAACATTAGGAAACGTATGAAACCTTGATCAAATGAACATAATCCATGAGTTGTAGTTCTTTTATGATGAATGGAGTGACATCTTACTATGTGAAGTCTGTACTCAGACTCTCAGAGACCTGTCAAAATGCAGCCTGATTGTTGGGCCCCCCTCTGTGGATAATGCAGTGTGCATCTATGCAGTGTGGTTTGGAATAAAACTGAAGGTTGTGTGCTTTTATAGCTTTCAATGTTTATGGGTCCAAAATATAAGCATTTGTGGTTTATAAACATTAGGTATGACATCCTATGGGCATCATTTAGAGCTCCACGTATCGGTACAAGAGGAGATTTGAGCATTGCACATCGTATGTACATGTAGATGCACAAATATTACTTAGAAGTAGAAAAATATTATATCAAAAAGTGGTGTTGAAAAGAGAACATGAATGTTTGTTCTTTGTACATTTTTTTCCTTTTCTTCTTCAGAGTTACCTTTTTGGGATGGTAAACAAGTTTCTATTAGATCCTATTTTGTATATTTTCCTGTAAGTATTTCATTTTCTTATTCTCAGTAGGTGTTGAAATATCCACAGGTTTTCTCTGCTGCCAAAGCTTTCAGAAGTTAATATATGCATGGTTCTATTATTGTCCTGCCATTTAATCCATTGACAACTGAGTTAAATGATACTTAGATTGAAAGTCATTTGAAAGTCATTTGAAATGCGCATTAGAAGAAAATTAATTACATGTAGAGACCAATGGGATAACATACCACTGCCTAAAACTGCACTAAAGTCGTTTGGGGCTTGAACATGATACACACACAGATTTCCTGATACTCCTCCTATTGCTCTTACATACTAAATCATCATCAGGTGAATGTTAGGTAGTCTGTAGTCTGTTTGTCTGTCTGTCTGTCTATCTGTCTTGGTTTCCATGTGATCATCAGTTATATGATATATTCATTACATTCAGTACATGTACAACATGACATAGCGATGGAATGACAGACAACATCCGTCTTGAAGTGAAACATTGAATGACTCATTTGCATTCATGTCCAATTATCTCTCTACCATTCCTGTCTGTATATTTCCCCATTGTCTGCTCTGTTCTCATTGTGTATCAGTTAACCGTTTAACCCTGTCTTGGTGTACCATGCACAAGCACTAAATCAATTACTGCCATTGTTATTTTCTTGCTGAATTTATGAGTAATGACATGTAGGAAAGATGTCATCTCAGGTAACTAGAAGAAATTTTGAACCCATATTTTATGTTACCGCTCGCCCTCTCAATCATTCTTATTTTGAAAGGAAAATATGTTTAGTCCTGTCTTAATTGCATGAGTTCATGATGTACATGAACAAGAAGTGAATACTCTGTTAAATCTTGTTATTTCAGATATCTGTTGTGTTTTGCCAAAGAGGATACTTCACTCTGATGTTCATAAAATTGTCCAAATTGGAAAAAAGAGTGATAATGCAATACTACTACATCATTTAGTATGGGAGAACATGATTCCATTCATATTTGGTTAAAACTTTGTCTGTATGAGGTTGTTTACAATTTGAGTAAACTTGAATAAATTGAATTGAATAGAGTGAACAATGCTAACATTGTAGAATTATAACGGAAGTCTGTATTTACAGTCTTGATAAGTTAGATCTTCAATGAATTAGTGGATCAATGTGCTGTACATACACATAGATTCATGAGGACAGTTAATTCAGTATCTGTGTTTGGTATCTGAATAGTGCCTTTGTAAGAGAATACAGGTAACATGTAAGATATACTGTTGTTGGAGTCCTTTTATAAAGACAGTATGGATATATTCTCTACAATGTAAATCTACTTCAACTTTGTTAAAATATCGTCACCAGTCACAGTGCCTTGGTGCAGTATTTGTTCTTTAACCTTTTTGTGCGAGGTATTTTATTAGAATTTTGTTTTTCTTTCTATCAATCCCTTATTGCTCTGTCTATAGATAGTTCCATTACCTGGTATATATATATATATATGTATAAAGTCACTCTTTCTTTACAAAGCAGTTTATTTTGTGAAAGAAAGGGCATTTGCATTGTTGATTTTATTCCAATCTGTATGCAGGCCATTTTTGAATTGTCTTTAAGGATGTATGTATCCGATAACAAGCTACATGTACTAGCTTGTAGAAGAGAGATATTTTCGTAGAAACAAGACAAAAAAGAGTCTATGTAAGTGCACATACATGAATTTTGTTTGAAAGTCCGCTGTTAAGTTTCCTTCCTGCTTTGATTATGTTCCCAATGGCCATGTACATATAAAGGGAATGGATGTCCTTGTGTTTATCCTGTATGAAGTGAAGCTATATGTATCTGAAATTCTAACTGAATTTAGAAGAAAAAAATGAAATGAAATCACTGGGCTGTTGTTTCAGAGAACTATAATTATAGATATAGATTTTTTTTATTTTCTATTTTTTTTAAATACTGTAGGTATGCAGGATAAAACATGATTTGTAGATATTATTTTGTTGCTTTCTGGGTGATTATATGTTCAGTCAAACCCGTCTATAGCAACCGCCCAAGGGAAACACAAAAATGGTCTTTGTAGACAGGTTCCTTTAGTCCATGTTTCAATGAGAAACCATTTTCAAGGGAAACAAAAAATGTGGTCTTTGTAGATAGGTGGTCACTAAAGCAGGTTTTACTGTATTTAGAAAAAAAATATGAAATATATAATATACTCTCATGTAATTAAAAAAAACACTATTCTGAGAAAATTGTTTCTTCATGTATGAATAATATTCCCATCTGGTATTAGCAACACATTCCTCCATCCTTACTAATCTTGATGAGTAATAGCTTTATATTTTTCTTGTAAATTTCACTGGTTTTGTAGTTCTCTTTTCAAACATTCTACTCACTATTTGTTTGTATATATTTGCTTTGTGTGTGATTCTTCTTTGATTTCTATCAATTGCTACTCTGTCCGCTCTCATAGTTTTATGATTTGTGTATATTTTCTGTAACCCATAGTTATTATATATTCTATAGATGCTATTGAACAAATTCATAACAAATGATAGTATAGGTAAAGATTTTAAGAATTAATAGCTTTATTTGACAAATTATATGAGTTTAATCAACACTTGTGGGATATTCAGAGAATGATGCTGGGAAGGTTGATGTATGCTTGCGATACTATTGATATTGTGTAAGAAATCAAAGCTGCTAATTGTTATATTTGATTTATATTAAGCACTTTGTAAGAAATCTTAGTTGTTTTATATTGATTCCATGACAAAAAGACTGTAAATTGGTCATATGTGGGAAATTACATTATACATTGACACTAGAAGTAGTTTTATAGTTTTATAGTTTTTTTTCTCAAATAATCAGTGAAATCCAAATATTGCTTTTTATCTTATCTCACCATTCCTTTTCCATCATTCCAACTCTTTCTCTCTGTCTTTGTAGCTCCATGTATTTCAGCACTGTCAATCAATTCCTATTGTTATACTGTGGTTTACCTCATAATTTCATTACATGCATTCACAGAACAAATTCTAATGAAATTCCTAATACAGGACAAATTAATATGGTTTTGCTGGAGGTATTAATAGTGGACAAGTATTAAGGATGTTAATGTATTTACATGCATATGTTAGTGAATAAAGATTGATATGAAGTGTTGATCTGGTTTAATGTATAGTGTGATGGGTTGAATTAATGTCACACTTGTGTAGTTGATGCACATTGCACAAGATTACATAATACAATACACTTTGTAGATCTTGTTTGTTTTCACTCAATGATATGGTCAAGATATAAATGACAGCTAATCAGTCAAAACTAAAGTCAACAACACTTAGCTGTAAGTTCTTTTAAAAGGCAGATAAATAGGATCAAAATAAAAAAAATTAAAATGTGAAATGAATCGTCTTGAATTTGAAGTAATGAATTACTGGAAGATAGTTATGTGATGAATTTTGATCGATAATTTTTCGAAAATTAATGAATAATATTGAATCTGCATATGAGAAGGATCTATCAACATTGCCCTGAATGTATGGGGAATCTTGTATCGTAAGACGTTTCTAATGATATACTACAGGTACATGCCATAGAGCAAAGATACAATTCCTTTCTATTTTAATGCTCTATTTGTACATTTCTAAGTATACTGTGTCATCAAGAGTTTGTCTTTGTATTAATTAGGTCATTGCCTGTATCATATTACCTCCAAGTCTAAATACATAGAGTAAGTACATAGATGTTGTCCATAGATGTTGTCCAATACATGTGGTATATCATGTTATGTATGTTCAGAGTAGCCGAGAGTAGTCATCAATGCACTACCCTGCCCTGCCAGAATGAATCCAGATGTGGCCTTCATTTCTTACATGTTGAATGAAAGTATTGTCTCATCATCTTTTATAAAGAATAATATTTTGAAAATCTGCTTCAAACAGTGCACTTTCAAAAAAATAAAATTTTATAACTGTATACTTTGTCATTGTAATTCTTTCATTGAAAATAAAAAATCCTATACAGATACAATCTCTTTTGAGTTCTTACTCTCTTTTTCACTGTTCCTCTCCTTTTCACTCATTTTCTCTCTATTCCCCCCCCCCCCCACTCTCTCACTTATTTTCTTGATTGTTCCGTTTGTGTGTGTCTCTCTCTCCAGGCTTGTCTGTTCTTCAATCTATTAGAATAAGAATGAAATCTTCACAGCAATTATATAGTTGCACAAAATATATATTTGTGATAACAGCTAAAATTGGAAAGATTCTCACAGATGAGGTTACCCCCCCCCCCCCTCCCCCATTTCTTCAAAGTTGTGTGAAGGATGATCATGTATGACTCAGCAGTCATTATCCCAATATACAATGTACATTTGTGATGTGAATTTCTTCTTCTGTATATAGCTACTGTAGTTAATCAACAATCAGTACTAACATGAAGACATCAAGATAGATCTTCTACAATACAGTAACATTTAACAGCTCAGGGGGTAGCATATAAATTATGATTAATTATCAAATTTTGACACTTCGGTAATGTACAGAGACATGGCAAACTGCAACAAAGATCTTCTTCATTCTTATGAAGCATTCAATAGGACAGATCCACTTAGAAGTTGTTGCCATTATCATGATTAACAAACTGTTTCTGGCCATACATCTAGGAAACAAAGACCAATTTACATATAAAATCCATAAAATTAGCAAGGTCAATTAATTGAAATCAAATGTCTTAACTAAATGTAATAATAATAATAATACTCGGTTTTTATATAGCGCTTCTTAGAATCACTAAGCGCTTCCAAACTTGGAGATTATTACCCCGGCTTTAGCTGTGCTGCCATTGCAGAACTCTAGCATTTCAAAGAATGAATTCCTGCCAGGTACCCATTTACATCACCTGGGTTGAGTGTGGCAAATGTAGATCAATGTCTTGCCAAAGGACATTAGTGCCGAGGCGGGTCTCGAACTACGGACCTTGTGATCGACAGTCCGGTAACTTAACCACTCAACCACGGCACCTCCCAAGCCTTTTTCACTGGCATAATTAATGAACGGCTGACCAGTACATTTGACTTACACATGTATAATAGTCATGATTTCAATGTGAATATCTTCAATAACAGGTTGTGTGAATTTAAAGTTGTGATTACTTGACAATTATTTGCTCTCCTTATCATGACCCAATGTCTGCAGATGATACAATTCTTTTATTTATTCATTAACATAGAGAATTAAAAGCATGATGGACAACTGAGTCGCACTAATAACAAAAGTTATATACATTCTGTATGCAGTATCAGTACTACTGGATCAAACCCGGAGATAATGATCTTCCTCATACATATTTTGATTGCTGAGGAGCTATAGTACGATGTAACACAGGAACATCCATTATCACTGTGAATGAACGTAAAAGGGAAATATTTATGCTTGTCAGAACAGATTGATAACAACATAATGATGGTGAGATGATGGCATGTAGGATCATACACTGCTCCAAATCATGATAACAGTTTGACTGGTTGAGCATGTGTTTCACTTCATTTGGATGTCTTACATAAGTTCCTCTTGGCCCAGCCAGTTATCAGAACATTACATGCTTAAAAGCCTATGCACAGGTTTGCTACATGCCCTGAGACTTTTTGGAAGATTTCTTTGATTTGACTGATTCCCAAGCAGATGTTTGCTTTCCAAAATTGTAATGTAAGATACATCAGAGGTGGAAGCAATTTAGATCACTCGGTCATGATCAAAATTATCTCAATATTTTTGCTTTGTTATTTGTAACTCCTTTCAGATCTTTACATGTATTATACATTGAAGTCCTCTTGATACCCTTGTAGTACATACCGTACTTGTATGTATACTCCATTGGTCAGCACACAGTACCATATTCATCTATGGCTACTGATGAGTCTGTTATTATAAGGCATCTATGATATCAGTCCTACATCGCTGTCACCTTCTTCTTCTTCTTATTCACCTTCTGTTCCTCATCGTATTTCAGCCTCTTCTCCTTCAGTTTGCGTACCTACGAGACAAAAAGTGAATTCATTTTATTAAGACATGTTGTTCATTAATTGTTTGCATTGGAAAGCAAGATATATAAAGATTGAGAGATTTTGTTTTTACTGCCAATATGGTTTTAGTAGATGGACATAGATAATCAAAATAAACTAGATGGAACTTCAACTGCGCGCAGTCGAAATGATGCCTCCGTCATAGAGCAATTTTACAAACAAAAACAGAAGAAATTTTTCAAATTCAAGTTCAATTGTAATCCATTAACAGTTTCTCAGAATATCGTGATTACAAGCAATTTCTCATATACATATATGACCCTTTGATCTTTGACCTCATGACCCTAACATCTACTCAGTTCATTGGCTCTACAAGATGTCCCGAGTTAAATAGTAATCCATTTGTCAGTTCTAATGAGAATGCGTTCACGAGCTATTTTTGCATACATAATGAGCCGCATGACCTTTGACCTTGACCTTATGACCCCAAAATCTAATCAGTTCATCGGCTCTGCAAGTAACATACATGACCTAATTTTGGCAGGAATCCATCAATCGGTTCTTCAGATAACGCGATCACGAGCTGTTTTTGCATACATAATGAGCCCTGTGACCTTTGACCTTTAAACTCGTGACCCCAAAATCTAATCAGTTCATCAGCTCTGCAAGATACATACATGACCAAAGTTTGGCAGGAATCCATCAATCGGTTCTTCAGATAACGCGATCACGAGCTGTTTTTGCATACATAATGAGCCCTGTGACCTTTGACCTTTGAACTCGTGACCCCAAAATCTAATCAGTTCATCGGCTCTGCAAGATACATACATGACCAAAGTTTGGCAGGAATCCATCAATCGGTTCTTCAGATAACGCGATCACGAGAACGGGACGTACGGACGGACGGACGTACGGACGTACGGACGTACGGACGGACGGACGGACAACCCGAAAACATAATGCCTCCGGCTACTTCGTAACGGAGGCATAAAAATATAAACAAATTAAAACAAAACAGAAAGTTGACAAATATCGATGTTTCAATAAAAATTATCAAATTTGCTAAAAACTCATATTTCTTTCAATGTAATTCTTTCAATTTTCAATCATGTTTAGTTAGCTGTGAATTGAGGAAAAGGAATGTTATTAGCAATAGTGTTGCCACTTTGATTTTTATTTATAAAAAATGTGCTCACCTCCTTGGCTTGTTCCTTCTTCTTCTTCATGAGTCTATCGTATAACCTCTTCCTCTTCTTGGGGATCATCATCTCTTGTAATCTCCTTTCTTGTCTAGCTAGCTTCTCCGCGTCCCATGTAGGATTCACCTTCTCTACTTCTCCCTCAGCTACAGATAGATTCATTGTCTGAGGGGACAAATAGAGTAATAGTATTAGGAATATGCAAATGAACACTTTGAATATTCATGTTTTTGCTACTGTGAGGCAGCTGATCATTCCAATGAAATGATGACCATGGTGAAGTGTTGTTCGATTGATTTTGTCCTGTGACCGAGGATGGGAGAATACAATCATGTATTATTAGATCATCCAAGCTACACCAATCTTAATCTATTTCTACTTCAGCTATAGAAAGCTTCATGGAGTAATGTTAACAAACTATCACCCTTTCAAATACAGAAACAACAGTCTGATAATCACAGAGTAATATATACACAATTACACATAAAAGTCAATATTTTAACAGACAAGCCATTAAGTACTTTGCTTTGAACATCCCATTTTTATCTAATAGTTTTAAAGTCAATCAAAGATAATTTCATGAATAATTACAATGTTTTTATTTAAACCTGTAAGAATCAGTGTATTACTTTGATAGGTCATTACATTCCATCTTTATGCTCTAAAAACTCCACATTTCTTGTTTTTCCTAAGCTCAATACTAAGTGGGGAAGTTAACCTTTGCTCATGCGGGGCCTCCGCCATGGAATGCTCTCTCTCAAGAGATTCGTTATGGCAGATCAGGTGAAGTTTTAAAAATAATCTTAGAACAAATCTGTTTATAATGCAAATGCTTTTATGTGAACTCTCTTTCGTTTGTTTTTTGTTTCACAAGTGCGCCTTCAGCACCTTACATATCTCATATTCTCATTAGTAGTATCTTACCTGTTTTTGTGCTAGTTTACTGAGCTGTTTTAACCTCTTCTTCTCAGCATCACCTATACTAGTCTCATCCTCCTCCTCCTCCTCGTCATCATCACTGCTGAGGCCTTCCTCTAAATCTTCTTCATTCTCACTTTCACCAATGATCTCTTCTTCTTCCTCCTCCCCAACTTCCTCATCTGTAAGTGAAGGATTGTGAAAGCATTACATTCTACCAAGAACCTCATATCATTAGAAGAATAATTCTATTTCATAAAATGAAAAAGTATCATCTGTCCCCACAGGCTTCATTCCTCCTGGCAGGGTGCATTTTTTTAAAAACCTGTATCAATTTTCCTGTTGTAGGAGCTTTATTGCTTGAAGCTAACATTTGGATCAATATTCAGGTAAAACAGATGAAATTTAATCTTCATGTGAGATATAAATACTGTTTTATTCAAGGAAAATAAGAAATCCAGCTTTCTATTCAATTTAGTACAAAATATTAAAATCTTAGAGATAGCATGACTATATATAAAAGGTTATATGACTCTTCAGCAGTACGCCCAATTTCTGTATACTTGGTTTTAAAAAAAAAGAGAGAGAAACAATGTCATGACACAGAAGAGAAATTCTCATGTGTTATGAAGAATTGTACAACTTTGTAAGGGGTTGAGTGAGCATGACGTACCATCCGACTCTGTTTTCTGGTTTCCCTCCTGCATGGCCATTCTCTCAGGGGGTAAGTATGAACCTTCTTTATCTTCAACGAACGGTGACAGGTGAGGGGGTAGGGGTACACCTGGGAAGTAGTCCTCTAATGGGAGAAGCCGATGAGCATTCACACAGTCAAACACCCACTGAGGCTGGATATAATACCTGAACGTCGATAGAGAGACAGAGAGAGGGAAACAGGGGTTAAACTACAGAGAAAATGAAATCTATATGCTGTATAGGTATTCTATACAATTGTTGGAAATAACATCAGGATCAGTTACACATGTATCTGATAATGCCTTACTGACAATTTTTCCACCAAACTTTGGCTCTCACTTCCACTGAATTCACTTACAAGAACATGCTAAATGTTAACATAGGGGTTACACATCTGTTGATAAAATAATTACAAAATAATGATGGATACAAATATCAAGGATGATTTACGTTTTTTGAATGATGCTTTTTAAAGTCTTAAGAATTATTTGTGGTTTACATCCAACACAATCTACAATGTAACCCACTCCTACAGTGTTATTTCAAACTATGATTCAGCTTTGTAATTCAATTACAGACAGACATTCCTTAGAGCGCTAGATTTAAACATGCATCCATTCCCTTGCCTTTTCGTCTCCTGTAAATTAATTTAGAAGTATACCTTAATGAAAGAGAGCATACCTTGATAAATACTGCTTATCCTGCTGTGGTCTGTCTACAATCTGATGTGTGATCGTCTCATCAGACATTTCATATGGAGCACCAACAAACATTGTCTTGTCCCATGATACCTGTCCTCCAAAACACCTGCATTCAAACAAACAAACAAACAAACACACAAACAAACAAACATGAATAAATGATATACAATCAGCGTGCTATGGTCATAGTTATAATCACTTCTGATCATTCCACTAATCATTGTTCTTTAGGCTTAATAATTCTGGGGGTGTTTCACAGAGACTAAGATTGACTATTTGACTTTAAGTTGGACTAACTTTGGCAGGCTGCTCATGCCAATGTTTGCTCTCACCGTTTACTGGTATTGGTCTCTCAAGGGACGTACATAATCACAGTCACAAATCTACATAATTAACATTTTTTAATGATTGGAAGTAAAAAATATTTTCTAAAATTCATTATGGTGAAAGCAAAACAGTGGCATGAATGGCCTGCCATAGTTAAGTCCAACTTAAAGTCGATCTTAGTCTTTGTGAAACACCCCCCTAGTCATATCATTTAAAGTGTACAGAAGGCTGCATTACCAATCCACTTGTTTTCTTCATGTCTGCCCACTCATGTTAGAATGACTCATATTTTACATTTCTTGTATGTACCAACAGGCTATGTTTGTATCAATGTAATATTCTCACCTGATGACGAATGTGATAGCTTCTCTTGGTACCTCTCTTGAAAGGAAGAACTTGCATCCTTCAAACAACTTCTTGAACCTTTTCATGTCATCTCTCTCTTCTCTTGCCTTCTTCACGGTCTCTTCATCCACAGTCTAACAAAGAATCAACATAAGTCAAATCAAAATACAATTGATAGTGTTACAGACTTTTTCAGTGTACAAAGGAATGAAGCTCTAGATTTAATTTGTTAAAGGTAAGTTACAAATCTAATCAGTATTACCGAGGGAGAGAAATACAGCACGATGATAAGTATTGAAACAGATCCATGTAATGGAGGGAAATTACTTGTGACTTGTGTCTTCACTGTAACTTCAAAGTATATAAATAACTCTTCTGACATACAGACACACACAAAAGGGATTCTATAGCCAGTTCTTTAAAAATATGTATTAGTCATTTTTTTAGGTACATGTATGCACATCAAAGGTCATATCAAAGTACCACCACTATCTTTCAACAAATGTTTCCACATAAATCAAAATATTTAACCCATGAAAACAGATGTGCCAGATCTTATATAATAATGGCTAATTGTCATGTTTACTGGCACAATCCAATGACATCATTGAACTATGAGAATTATGGGAAACGGTAGGGGATTACAAAGTACTTTCGATGGCATAAAATGGTTGCTCATTAATAAAGTGAAGCTTGATTCAACTGTATGTATCTTTGACAATATTAAGTGTTACTCACCCCACCAGCAATGAGAACCTCTTGTTGATCATCATCCTGTTCATTGTCTTCCTCATCCTCACCAGTAATACTTGACCCCTGATTGACCTTTACAAGGTCATGTGCAAAGGAACCAATGAGGTCATCTACAGCATCGTCCACTTCATCTTGTTCTGCTTCTGACTTTGTGCTTTGTGATGCCATCGACAACTGTGATGTAAAACAATATAAGAAAGCATTTTCATTAATAAAGAATGAATGCTTCTGACGTTGTGCTTTGTAATGCCATCGACAACTGTCACATAAAACATGGTTAGTTATAAGAAACCATTTTCATTAATAATGACAGAGTGACTGTACTTTAACAATACATGCATAACTAATGATGTATTTGGCATCATGTCCCAGCAATGACATCTTTTGAGTAACATGAATCGTGATCCAAGAGTCACTTGTATAACTGCCAAATTTTGAAAATTAAAAAAAAAAAAAAAAATTCTACCCCTCTTAAAGACAGAGTAGTGGGCTCTCATGGGGAAATAGACACCATTTGTTTGGTGTTTACCCCAAAAGAGGTGTTGTCAATCACTGGGATTAGACCAACAAGCTTAACGTAATGCTCTGTCTTTTCCCAATATGGTAAAGTACATGTCTCACATTTGCATCAACTGAAGACTCTCCGAGAGACGGGGTATTTCTTGATTAGCCTATGGGTTTGCTGTGTGCAGACTTGTACACCCATTAATGGTATTTCGACCAAGTCTGGTGTCAGCGAATTATGAACTTCTACACATGGAAACCGTTGCCTGACTGGCTGCAAGTCCTAATGGTACATGGGAAGCCTGAAGCCTGATCTACTATGAAGAAGACAGTTAACTCACCTTAGGAGGGTAGTGGAGGTTAAGACTTGTGTAGAGTTTAAAGTTGACAAATCCTACTAGAGTAGTGTAGAACTCTGTGAATGTAGACATGATCTTTAAATCAACATCGCCCGGCACCTGAAACATGAGAAAGATAAAGTGAACATCAAAACTTTGTACCATAATATATTCACCTACAGCAATAACATTCATCATAATAATGTCTCATATCATTTTGAAATGACTTAAATTAAATACACTGAATATGTAAATGTAGTTGTTTTCTAACCCCAGCTTTATCTTATGATGGCCATGTCAGCCTTTTCAATCTCAACGTTTGGTAATCCAAGGAACATACTGTAATTATATCTACACTCTTCTATCAAATGCTGAATAATAAATCCAGTAAATCAAAATACACATCTATTCCTTGATACTGCAAAATGGCTAACAAAAACGGGGTGAAAACAAATTCTCATGTCCGTCAAATCTGTTTTTACACTGAATCATGGTCAAGAATGGTCAGTATCATGGTCAAGAATGGACAGTAAAAAGGGTCAAGAATGGAAAGCAATGTGCTCAATAAAGAAATGGACCAATAAAGGAAGTGAAATTAATGACCATAAACCGTTCTCACCTGATATCCAAAGTTATATGGAATGATCCATGTTAACATCTGACCCTCAATCTCAACCTGAAAGTAGATTCCTTTGATAGACAGGAACACCTACAACAAACAAAGACCACATCAGAATAAACATCATCATAGGGGGCATGATTAACCTACCAGTTGAGTTTAATTCTCTTTTCTAAGGACTGGATTGTTGGTAAATATACTGATATGTCCAACTTTTTTTAATCTCCCCCTCCTTCCCCCCCCCCCCAAAAAAAACCAAACAAACAAGAACTGGCGTTTTAATACATCGCCCCCTACATTTTGTAGGTCTTTAGCTAATGGGAGGATTTATTAAATTCTTACAGCTGCATTCTCTCAAGTGAAGTACAATCTAGAAAGAATGTATTCAACAAACACATACAGAGTAGAAGATACAAAAGTATGTGTTAAGGATAACATTGACAGTTTCTTACGCTGACCTTTCTGAGTGACCTTGATGCGATGACATAGTTCATGAACTCTACGATGAGTCGTCTACAGAGAGGGAGGACTTCACTTTTGACCTTGGCATTCTTACGGAACGTACTGAACAATGAACACAAGGTCAAAGGATCCTCAAGGTCACGCAGAGCATCAACAAAGGTTGGGTATCTGTTAAACACGGAAAGGAAGAAAAACTTTGTTGTTCATTGAACATTTGACATTACACTAAGACAACATACATGTAGAGTCCATTACAAAGCACAAAATAAAATAATGATTTCTTCTTTTGTAATTTGCAGAAGTTACATGCTGCAAGAAAGACTGCTGCTAACAATCTGCGACTGATTCTGGTTTCCAGTATTCAATATAATTATGTGGAGGTTTAACAGAAAACGGAAAATAATGAGAAATATTAGTTACATGCTAACCTCTTCACAAAAGAGGATGACAAATTGTGGCTATTCATTTTCTATTGACAGAGAATCTCTCTGCACCTACCTCTCTTTAACGATGTGGTCTAGTCTATATTTGGGTTCATTTCTACAAAGTCTGTTCACTGTTGCCCATTCCTTTTTGGCTTTTGCTTTCCTCACTTTCCTCACGAAAACCTGAGACACAAGAGTGAAATGAGCCATATGAAGAGAATAGATATACATATAAAAATACATCTATATAAATGCATATATATCATGTTAGAAAGTATCAAGTAAAGTAAATGTTAGAAATAAATTAATGAATGTCATTTGGTGAGTAAACCAGTAGCCTTACTTCATCTTCAAGTATGTAGAAGAAAAAAAAATCATTAAATTTGAAATAATTATTTAGAAATATTCATTTATCAGAAACATACATGTATGCTACTTTGATAGTTGGTTTCTACATCCTGCTTCTACTGTACACACACTTTGGGCTAAATTTGAATCATATTAAAATTCCTGTTTTTTTTTCAGCCTTAAATTTCTTGTTTTGAGGAACAGGCCAGCCAAAGAGGCACAAAGCAGTCCATTTCATGACAGCAGAGGGCATCACTCGACCATAAACTTTTAAAATAGGCATGAGAGTCTATGAGTAGGGCACCATGGCTAAAAGCAGCATAACTTGAGGCCGGCTATTATAATACATACCCTGTGATCCCTGAACTTCTCAACAATGGGTTCATGAGCTAGAAACTGGATGTCTTTGAATCTGAAGTAGGTTCTGTGAAGCCTTTGTCCTTTGCCAGCTTTCCTGATACTCTTGGGTTCTACAGGGTAGATACCTTTCAGAATACACAGTCTCCTGTAAAATCATAAAATATTATCATTATATTATATACCTTTTCTTCAATTATTATAGAGTTCAGAATCACTCCAGTTCCTTAAACTTGTCACTACTCGTGTTGGATCATTTAAAACCTACAAAGGTAACTCCACCCATTCAAGTAAGAAGGAAAAAAAGGAAAGAAGTACAAATAATAGTCAGGTCTGAATGTCTATCTTTGTACACTTTACAGGAATTACATTAATACAGTACAGTAGACCGATGCAAGTTTACCCCCTCCCCCCTCTCCAACAAAAAAAAAGAAAACACACAAACTTGGCATCTTGAATTTAACATTTCAGAATCTTGCATATATGTAATATATTTGCCAGGCTACCTTAAAAAGGTGGTGACATCATTAACAATAAGCATGACTACAATCTAAAATATTTTGTATTGAAAAAGAAAGGGTATGAATGGCTCTAAATTGGCTTGATAAATGGATATCACTGAATTCTGAGGTCACACAATGTATCTCACCTGAAGTTGACTAAATTTAACTGCAGCCTCTTCACAGCTGATGCTCGTGTAATGAAGCTTGTTGCTATACCACTCTTGAACTGTAACATGGAGAAGATAGGAATTTGAAAGAAGATTGGTAAACTCAAAATGTTAAAGCATGTAGGCCTATTTGCAAGTTGCAACTGATTAGTACCCTGAAATTTAGCATCCCAAATCACAACATCTCAGTCAAAATTGTCAAATAGCGCTATTTTAGGGTGTAAAAGGCAGGCCTGTGTCACGGCAAACTGCTGCACATTACAATTGCATACCGAACCGACAGGGGGGTGCGGGCGCGCGCGCGCGTGTGTGACGTTAGCGACTGTAATCTTAGATCCCCATTCAGTAAATCTAAGCAATTCATCATTACAGTCGCTAACTTCACACATGCGCATGCATAGCCAGTACCCTCCATCGGTATGGTATGCAATTGTAATCATGTAGGGCGCTGATCCGAGAAAAAGGATCCTCTGCATAAACGCAGGCCGATACGTCCTCAAAAAAAGATTCGTCCGCATTTTCGCAGACGTTTCATATTTCTGATCGGCGCGTTGGCGATGCAAAAAACTGATTCTGTGATGATTTTCTTGATGCATTTTACATTGTCTTTGTACAGAGACTTTCACATTATGAGCGATAAATCCTCAGGAAGACGGACAACCCAGTAAACTAAGTAGACTGTAGACAGTGAACTAGGTTTTTTTTTTACGCCGAACGAATACATTGCCAGCGGGCGGTTTGGTAACCCGAAACTCGTAGAGCGTCGATGAAAAAATACGTCTGCGAAAATCGATCGAAAGACGATCCTTATTTTTGAGGACTTTCTTTGTTAAATCTGGCAATTTTCTGAATTTGTCGACGAGCACTCATATCGTAGGCTAGACCGAAAGCTTCAGTCTCTATAATCGTCGGTTGTTCCACTGAGACTACGTCTGGCTCCACTAGACCTCCGGTTATAGAGACTGAACGACTGCCTATGCCAGCCTGTGTTGAACTTATTCCGCTAGATTTTAGCCGCTAGGCCCCTCCCACAAACTTGCCACGGCCGTATTGTTATGCCCCCAAAATCCCCCAAAATGTCATTTTACCTCGTCCATATCCAATTTTAAATTAGGCCTAGGCTATAATACATCGGTTCCACTTACTAATTTGATGTAAATAATCCGTTTAATGGTCCCTTTTAAGGAAATTATGGGTCAAAATCGACATCCATGTTGAAAATCTTGCAAGCCGTCCGTACTCTCGCTGCCGTCAATCTCATCCCTTCTAGTCTACGCCGAAGGCAAAATGATAATGAAGGAAAAACTGTGCGCCATCTACACGTTCGTAATGGCGTTATCACAGTTTTTTCCTTCATAATCATTTTGCCTTCGGCGTAGACTAGAAGGGATGAGATTGACGGCAACGAGAGTTTAACACGGCTTGCAAGATTTTCAACATGGATGTCGATTTTGACCCATAATTTCCTTAAAAGGGACCATTAAACGGATTATTTACATCAAATTAGTAAGTGGAACCGATGTATTATAGCCTAGGCCTAATTTAAAATTGGATATGGACGAGGTAAAATGACATTTTGGGGGATTTTGGGGGCATAACAATACGGCCGTGGCAAGTTTGTGGGAGGGGCCTAGCGGCTAAAATCTAGCGGAATAAGTTCAACACAGGCTGGCATAGGCAGTCGTTCAGTCTCTATAACCGGAGGTCTAGTGGAGCCAGACGTAGTCTCAGTGGAACAACCGACGATTATAGAGACTGAAGCTTTCGGTCTAATCGTAGGCGGCTTACGCGCGGGTATTGCATTGCCATTGGGATTGGCCTCCCTATTCATGCTAGACCCTATTCAACTTGTGATATTGTCTGGATTGTCATGAAGTGTTTTTCTCCATTGTCTACAAGAGGTGATTGCATGCCAAGTAAGGCCTGTCTCCTGAATGAAAGCAAACGGCCCGGCGCGCGGCGCGGCTACCTGTTTTGTTTTGGGCAAAACCATGTACATATTACCACACACAAAATGCGACATGTGGGACTAGTATTACTCCCCAATCCAAAATTACATGACAATTCTCACAACATACAAGCAAAGGAAAATATCACATATACTTGATCTTACGCTTACCTTCTTTTTCTCCTTCCCCATGATTGACTTCTTTCAATCGATAAGAATCTACTAATCAACTTACGAAGAAACAACACAATATTGATGAATTTCTAGAAGGCACGTGTTCTTTTTTTCTCGCACGTCTCTTTAAATTAGTAGTCTTGATAAACCAGGCGCTTTTTAGGTCTTCTTCTTGATGAACAATTAGTTTTGCCGATTTTATTTCACGGCTGTGAGGTTTGGGGGTCCTCAAATTGAGTCGTTTTATTTGAAGTTTGGCAAGAGTTTGATAAGATCTAAGACTAGTAAGAGTACTCCAAATACCATGGTTTACGGAGAACACTGTGGGTTTATGATTATTAATCGTATGTTGATGTTCTGTTATAATGGTATAGGCTGAGGCTGCCAGGTACACAGAAAAGAGGGAAACTGAAATTAGCACATCTGTTGTATTCCTTTAATTAATTTTATTAATTTATCAATGAAATGCATGTCATACCTTGAATTCACAAGATTAAATGGCTTCTTGATAATCTGAGTTTTACTAATATTTGGGACAATCAAACGAAGAGAATTATAAAAATGTCCAATTTAAAAAAAAATCATGTAATATATTAGTTATCAAGATTGCCACAATTGAGGTGAATTCTAAGTAACAGAAGCTTACTTAAAAAGCACTCTAAATACGAAAGAAAAGAGAGAAAGAGACTTAAAAAGGAATGGAGAAAAAGCTTTTTCATCTCGCACCTATATGCCTAACATTTAGTTTATGGAATTCACCAGCTTCATCTTATACTACTATCTTTCTCGTTCGCTTAATCTCTCTCTGTCTCTTTCTCTCTCTCATTCCAGTATACCCACCCATTATCTACCTCTATCTATGGTAACCCGACACATGCTCCGCCGACGATTGCTCCGCCGACATTTACTCCGCAAAACGCGACAATTGCTCCGCGACATTTGCTCCGCGACATTTGCTCCGACGTCAAATGCTCCGCCGACAGTTGCTCCGCCGACAGTTGCTCCGCCGACAGTTGCTCCGCCGACAATTGCTCCGCCGACAGATGCTCCGCCGACAATTGCTCCGCCGACAATTGCTCCGCCGACAATTGCTCCGCCGTCAATTGCTCCGCAAAACGCGACAATTGCTCCGCCGACATTTGCTCCGCCGACATTTGCTCCGCCTGAAGCGACACTTGCTCCGCCGACATTTGCTCCGCCGACAATTGCTCCGCCGACAATTGCTCCGCCTGAAGCGACAATTGCTCCGCCGACATTTGCTCCGCCGACATTTGCTCCACCGACATTTGCTCCGCCGACAATTGCTCCGCCGACAATTGCTCCGCCTGAAGCGACAATTGCTCCGCCGACATTTGCTCCGCCCAAAAAGTGTCCCATAAACTACAAATGCTACTAGTACTACGACAAATGCTTCGCCGACAATATTTTCTTTACACCTATTTTTTTCGTTTCTTTTTTTCTTCTTCATTTTCTGAATGCATTTCTTGAAATAATGTAGATGAAATGAAATGAATGAATGTTGATGAAGTGGGAGGAAAAAGGAGTTACCTAAAAGTCATTTCGAATATACTGAAATAACTTTCCATCTATCACTGTACGTCCCATATAATGTATACTAAACACTCATTACATGTCGTGGGAAGTTTTTAAAAAAAAGTAGAGCAGCAAGCCACATTCCCCAATACGCGCATACCTCCTAGTTAATTTCAAGTAGCTCATCAATATGTAATACCTGAAATTACCTCGATCAATGCATCTTACTAGGTAAAGCATTATACAATGTAATAGGTCATCATGGAAGTTTAGAAAATAAGTAAGGGGGATTTACCAAGTGTTGATCTTTTTAAGAGTTTTATAAAGAAAAAAAAAGATATTGAATATTTCTCAGCGAAAAAAAAGGAACAAGCTTGTTTCGCATTTTAAGAAATGGCGATTTGACTTATGATACTCATGTTGATTTAACTTTTATTCCTGTGCCCCCTCACTCCCCTTTATGCACTGGAGTTCAAACTATGATTTATATGTGTACAGTGTATTTTTTTTTAATATAATGTTTTTTTTTAATAACTTTCTTGTCCTTTCATTATTGTTAGTTGTTCTTATACATATTGGTTTTTTTGTTTGTCTAATTATTACCAATGACTTGTAAATATGTAATTTTTATATGATTGAAAATTTAGTAAACACACAAATATAAAAAAAAAAAGTTTAGAAAATAAGGGCACTTATATACGTAAGGAAGAGAACCCATTCAGACGGGAAAATGAGATGGCAGCCTTTCTGCTTATTCACATTTATACAAATCATTTTGTTGCAGTTTGATGTTAGTTCTTCATGATAAGCCAATTGCTCTTCTTCCGGTTGCTTCGTGAGTCCCTTAAATTATTTAGTGAAAACAAAGTACTCGAATGAAACGGAGTGTTTTGCACACTAACATATATATATATATTAAAGCTACATACACTTAACTAAAGGCCCGGTCACACAGGGAGGACGCATGGGGAACGCACGGCCAGCGCATGGGAAATTTGCAATTTTGGCCAGTGCGTTGTCGTGCGCCCAACTTTTGACACCAAATGCATAGCGTGTTGCTAGCGCGCTGAGCGCATACAGGGCGCATACAGTACGCATACAGACCGTACCCAGAACGCACATGATAACAACTTCCACGAATGCACAGCGTGTTGCTAGCGCGCTGGACGAATGGTCCACGCATGCATCGCGTTCTACGACGCACGGCCAGCGCATTGGAAATCGGAAAAGGCCGTGTGCCTAACTTTTGTCATGATTTTGGAAAAGCTAGCGAGCTGACACAAAATGCACAGCGTGTAGCGAGCGCGCTGTGCGTATACAGGGTGTGTGCCCCGCGTATGTCTGGCGCTGGTCTAGCGCGCTCAACGCACGTCTGGCGTGCCTTTGGCGTGTACATTCATGCGTCGAGCTCCGCGCACACTTTTGAGCATGCTCAAAAAATCCCGACGCACACAGCGAATGACGACGAATGCATAGCGCTGGTCCAGCGTTGGTCCAGCGCGCTCGACGAACGAGTAACGAGTGATGACGCACGCCTAGCGAACGACAACGCACTGGCCAAAATTGGAAATTTTCCATGCGCCGGCCGTGCGTCCCGCATGCGTCCCCTCTGTGTGACCGGGCCTTTAAGGAAAGAAACCTTTAGAAAATGGACTGGATATTATTGAAATTATTATTCTAAACAAGAATGTACTACATGATTGTATTACTTTACGTTTCAATTTCACGAGAGAAATAGAACTCGAGAGGGGGAGCAGAGAAGAAGTGATGGAAATGAAAGAAGACTAATAGCATGAGAGGAAAGAAAAGAGCAAAGAAGACAAGAAAACGGTGTAAACAGGAAAAGGAGGAGCATGGGAGAGAGAGAAAGAGAGAGAGAGAGAGAGAATAAGCCTTGAGCTTTGGATCAGCTAATGAGTAATACATGAAACAGATTTTGAGCGGAGTAATTATCTTTCGCCGGAGAACTTGCGTAAGGAGCTATAATTTTATTTATTACTTTTTTAAATCAAACATTATGGGGAATAGCAAAAAACGGTTGTCTTTTTTTCTCTTTTCTTTCCTCTCATGTTATTAGTCTTCTTTCATTGAGGTAATTTCAGGTCTTACATATTGATGAGCTGTTTGAAATTAACTAGGAGGTATGCGCGTATTGGGGAATGTGGCTTGCTGCTCTACTTTAAAAAAAAAAAAACTTCCCATGACATGTAATGAGTGTTTAGTGTACATTATGTGGGACGTACAGTGATAGATGGAAAGTTATTTCAGTATATTCGAAATGACTTTTAGGCAACTGCTTTTTCCTCCCACATTATCAACATTCATTCATTTCATTTCATTTACATAATGTCATGAAATGCATTCAAAAAATGAAGAAAAAAAGAAAGAAACAAAAACAACCCGTGAAAAAAAATATTGTCGGCGAAGCATTTGTCGTAGTACTAGTAGCATTTGTATTTAATGGGACACTTTTTGGGCGGAGCAAATGTCGTCGGAGCAAATGTCACCGGAGCAAGTGTCGCTTCATGCGGAGCAAATGTCGTCGGAGCAATTGTCGGCGGAGCAAATGTCACCGGAGCAATTGTCGCTTCAGGCGGAGCAATTGTCGGCGGAGCAATTGTCGACGGAGCAATTGTCGGCGGAGCAATTGTCGGCGGAGCAAATGTCGTCGGAGCAATTGTCGGCGGAGCATATGTCACCGGAGCAATTGTCGCTTCAGGCGGAGCAATTGTCGGCGGAGCAATTGACGGCGGAGCAAATAACGGCGGAGAAAATGTCGGCGGAGCAAATGTCGGCGGAGCAAGTGTCGCTTCAGGCGGAGCAAATGTCGGCGGAGCAAATGTCGGCGGAGCAATTGTCGCGCTTTGCGGAGCAATTGACGGCGGAGCAATTGTCGGCGGAGCAATTGTCGGAGGAGCAATTGTCGGAGGAGCATCTGTCGGCGGAGCAATTGTCGGCGGAGCAACTGTCGGCGGAGCAACTGTCGGCGGAGCACCTGTCGGCGGAGCATTTGACGTCGGAGCAAATGTCGCGGAGCAAATGTCGCGGAGCAATTGTCGCGTTTTGCGGAGTAAATGTCGGCGGAGCAATCGTCGGCGGAGCATGTGTCATGGAACCCTATCTATCTATCTATCTCTCTTTTTTCCTTCTCTCCCTCTATTTCTCTCTTTTCCACTTTTAGCCGCAATATGTTGCATTTTGTTTCATTTCTTATTCTGTCTCAGTTTAGTGTATATTCTGGGTTTTATTTCTTCTGTATTTAAAGTCAGTGGTTTAATTCAGTGAACCTACATACAACAACCCTAGCTTGTAACCTTCGGATTCCATGACATTTGCTCCGGCGACAATTGCTCCGCTGTAAATTTCATACACTAATCGAATGGCTAACTTCAACCCTGGATTCAACACTATACCCTACCCTAAACCTAACCCTAAACCTAACATAAAACCCTATTGAAACCCTAACCCTAACCCTACATCTTAGACGAAATAAAGCCCGGAGCAATTGTCGCAGGAGCAAATGTTGTGTCACCAACCTTCGATCACTTTTTATTTCCGTATTTAATGATATACAGACAATTCTTTCATGTCAATAATTACTATGATGATTCAGGATTATTGACTTCCATATTACTTAAAGAAAATAATTGAATGTTTTTTTCAAATGAATCATGCTTTATTAATCTTGAATGGCATGACTTTGTATACGTAACAAATGTTATTGTCTTGTCAAGTGTTTATCTTATTTTATTAATCTCGCATGGCATGTGAATAAAAGCAACGAATCAAATACAATTTTAAAAAATATATATTAAATCAAAAATCTCATATAGCATGTGAACATGAAAAATAAAATCAGATGCACTGGCTTTTAGCCTACCGGTGAGGGGAGGGGGGGGGGGGGGGGGAGGTGTCTTTGGGGTTGTTTCCCTATAGTGCTTACAAAAGAAAATAGAAAATATTATTATTCTTACTGGCTTCGCCGCTCATGTTTTGGGTTATTACGCTAACGCCTGCAGTATGACAACTCTTTGAGCATAGATTATAGGTTAATTATCTGATAAAGTAAATGTGGGATTAAATTCATAACCGTTATGAATTAGTAATTAAAGATATAAGTATGTAGAGTAATGCCTTACCAAAGGACATTCGTGCCGCGCAGGTATTCGAACCGCATACCTTGTGATCAACATTCCGGTGACGTATCCGTTAGACCACAAAAGCTATACAAGTAATCATAATCATAATCATCAATTCATCATCACCATCACCATCATTACCATTTTCATACTTCATCCCCAACATCATTACTACTTACCTTCCCATCATAATCACCACCATTATCCCAACCATTATAATTATCATCATCATCATCATCATCATCATTATCATCATCATCATCATCATCATCATCATCATCATCATCATCATCATCATCATTATAATCATCATCACCACTATCACCACCATCACCACCATTATAATTATCATCATCATGATCGTGATCATCACCACCATCACCACCATAATAATCATCATCATTATAATCATCATCATCATTATAATCATCATCATCATCATCACCGCCATCACCACCATTATAATCATCATCATCATGATCGTGATCATCACCACCATCACCACCATTATAATCATCATCATTATAATCATCATCATCATCATCACCACCATCACCACCATTATAATTATCATCATCATGGTCGTGATCATCACCATCATCATCATCATCATCATCACCTTTATCAATAGTATCATCCAAATCGTGCTTGCTAAAAAAAAGAACCCAAAAGAGGACTTGGTACTCAATATTAATTATTATTCTCGTCCGCCATTGAAATAAATATGCGCTATTATTCATTTCAGGAATCCAGCCGTGATTCATCTTGCACTTCGAGACTCGAGTGGGGGGGGGGGGGGGTATAAGAGAGAGAGAGAGAGAGAGAGAGAGAGAGAGAGAGAGAGAGGGGGCGGGGGAGGTGTTTCATTTTTCATTATATGATACAAAACATTAGTACACACAAAAAAAAAAATTGTATGTGCTATAATTGTATCGAATCATTTACAAAACAATACCGGATTTTATTCAGATAAACATGGTCTATAATTACATATATATATATGTATATATACGAGCAAAAATCACACTTGCAAGTGTTCACAACTAGCATGCAAACTCGATACTTAATAAATTCTGTATACGCGAATCCAAACAATTGCATTGAATAATCACAAATCTCTTGACTACATGTATTTAAACACCGATATAATGTGATGAATTAGTACCCACATTTTTTTAAACAGCATTACTTTGATTTTCGTACAAAACAACGATTAAAAATTACAGCATTAAAATAGCAACAACGCTTACATTTATAAAACAATCTGTGCCAATAAGACAATATTGATATTACACTGTATCAGAGTTGATACCACTTTTATTTTAACTAGGGAACGGTAGATCAGCAAGAAACATATTGGACAAACTATGAACAAGCAATAATGTGGATTTCTTATCAAATACGTGTATACATTAAAACAATATGTCGACAGACGTGGGTTTGAAAGGAAAATCACATGAAAAATAGGGGAAAAATGAAGAGAAAAAGAAGAGGTATACAAAACAGATTAAACAAATAAATTAACAGACAAAATACGGACAAATCGACAAAAACAATTACACTGTAGTACTAAAATCTATTTGGTTCAAATCATATTTTGTTTTCTCTTTGCATGGACCTACATAAGTACATTTCATAGTAATATACATCTTTCATATGATACACTTTTTTTAAAGAAACATTTCAGGACGTTACATTCCAAACACAGATTTTTATGCAGCTTTCATCCATTCTACTTCTATCATGAATTAATCGTATTAATTATATTACTAACGTTCAGAGCAGCACAGTTTGAATACTTTGAAAATAACATTCAAACATAAAATATAAACTTCATCGATGAATAAAATAAGTTAATGCGTTATTCAGAAATCCTGTGACATTTATATTTAAACATAAGCATAAACATTGATAGAGCTCATTGTAAGTTTATTGAAACCAAAACGGGATAAAAGAAGAAAATCAAGCCAGACGTATATTGATTTGATTTTCAATGTTTACTTCCAGTCAATCATCTAGTCAAATTTTCAGTCTATCACGACATACAAATATTTAGGCGATATGATAACAGTAAATACTGATTGATTGATTGAGTACCATTTGATTAGTTTATCCAAGGAGTTATTAATGTCACCTCCCTGGTTTATGGCAACATTATACATGATTTCAATTCGGAAACACAGCATATCACCATATCATCATCAGACATGATATATCGCATAGCTCAGATTAAACAAAATTGCACATCCATATCTAATTATCTTTTATTCTAAAGAAGCTAAACAAAACTATTGAATGAGTACTTAGTCATGAAAATCAAATGTGACCCAACAGATCAAATCTTGTCTACAGCTTCCTTATGACGGATAGTATAACTACATCGAAAACATCTTCACGAGCAGAATACATTACAATAGCAGCAAACAACATATCTGGCATGGTCATGACAATATACAAATCTATCTAGTACAGTACTATCAAAATGAAGGGCAAAAATGGTAAAATAAACATGACCCATAAAAGAATAACGAAACAGAAATATAACGAAAAATATCAACATAATACATGAACATATTTCAACAAATTCGACGAGAACAATAGACAATTATACTAAAATGATAAAATATAACTCTTCGGAGAATATTACAGGAATGTTCGTTGACTTTTCCTTATCAAAAGACAATTTTTTGCAATCATAAATCTTGAATTGGCTCTAGTCCTTAAGATACATAATAATGATACTAAATAATATTCCGCTGTTATATCGCGCTTGAGATGTCTCTGAGCGCTTTGCAGATTATCATTACCCTGGTCATTGGATTCAGTGCTTACCCGCCCGCACACACTGTGTGCACAATCTCCACTCCCTGGGGAGCATTACAGCCAACTGGGACAACAGGAACAGAGTTAGATGTCCAATGCTGTTTGTCCATGACGGAAGAAAAGAGATTCATCACACACTATCGACTGATGAGCTGTCATACGATGTCTTATGATCGGGATGTTCCTGGGGAGAAGTTATAGCTACAAATCTCTGTATGGAGAAAAATAAGTAAATGAAAAATTGTATTTGAATAATAATAATGATAATAATAATAATATTCGGCTTTTATATCAATACATCAACGATGTAGGCGCCTTATTATTGCCCCGGTCATCGGATTCAGGCTTACTCGCAAACAATAGATGCACATTCTCCACTCCCTGGGGAGCATTCCAGCCAGGCGTCATTTTTACAAGCGCACACATGTTTGCTCATCTAGCCACATTAACTTTCGCATCCTGCCGGGTACCCCATTAACACCTGGGTGGAGAGTGGCAAATGTAGATTAACTGCCAAAGGACATTTTGTGCCGCGCGGGATTCGAACCCCGTACCTTGTGATCTGCAGTTGGGTGACTTATCCACTATATATATAGACCACAACACCTAAATCGAAGTCATTTTAAACTAGGATCTTATAGCAGCTTTACAAAATGGTGATTCAAGTTGGTGCATATGGGCATATATGGCAATATATATGCCTTAAAATGGGCCATTCATAATGTGAAAATTATTACTTTTGTAAATGGAGAATTAAATACATATATGTATACAGTATGTTATTCATGTCTTTGGATAACGTCTTCGAAATGTATGAGGTAAAGTTGATGTGCACGCCTTATAAGGCGCTAAGGACATTTGTGAAAATAAGTAACCCTAAGTGCATTGGCCTATACTTTTATCAATGAGCATTACCTCCTTAAGGGATCCTGGTGTAATGAGAAGCTTGTAGAGAGCAAATGCAGGAACACAGACAATAGTAGACATAGTGAGACACCATCCTACACCAATAGACCACTGTGGATAGGGTTCCCCTTGGAATCCTACCATAGGGCGATGCATGAATAGGCCAAACACCACTACGAACTGTGTTGAAGAAAGTAAACAAAGATTGTATAAATGAATGATTCTGAGTCGTGTCAAAAGTCGATACATGAATATTCTAAACACCACTACGAACTGTGTTGAAAAAAGTAAACAAAGATTAGGTCTGAATCATGTTAAAGGTCTATACATGAATAGTCCAAACACCACTACGAACTGAAAAAAAGAACAAGTAAGAAACAAAGATTGTATAAATGAATGAATTTGAATCATGTTAAAGGTCGATACGTGAATAGTCCAAAAACCACTATGACCTATGCTGAAGAAAGAAAAAGCAATATTACAGAAATTCGTTTTAATGAAACAGTGAAGGGATCCAATATGGAGGGTTGAAAAGCACGATTTAATAAATTTGGAATTCAACAAATATCAATGTTCAATTCATTTGTATGAATGCCTAAACTCGATCATGAATAGAATCATAAGACAAGGTTCTCTATGTGTCCTGGTGATCTCACATTTCATAATTAACCGTAACGTGAAGATCAATGAACTTATAGGTCCTAGAAAGACATGACTTAGTTACCAAGTAAAATTCGAAGTTTGACTACAAGTCTTTTGTAGTAAAGTTTTACGAAAGAAACTAGTTTGAAAGAAATATGATTTGAAAGTTGGTGGAGAAACCATACAAGATACAACCCACGACTGAGAGAAATGTATTAACCATCTATAACTATCATCGCAACTGAGATACGCCAGAAATTAAGATATGATTAGAAAAAAATGAAAACAACAAAAAAGGTGTTATGACAATATAACAAAATAAGTGAAAGAAGAAGAGCATTAAATGCAAAAACAATAACTCATGATGAACAAAGGAGTTATGTATGCGACAATTATTATATTATTATTATGATCAAAATGTGCTGCAACGCCGTTCTAAAAGAATTTGCATTAATTTCCCTCATATCGAATTGAAAAACTTATCATCCATGATGACTCTGATTTTATGTCAGTCCTGTTATTCAGTGAAAACCTACAATTCCCTCTTATATAAGGGATCATCAACCCCACACAAGAGAAATAAAAGTGATTCCACCAAAGATGGAAGCTGTACAAAATCTTCCATCTTCCTGAAAATATTTTTTCATTTTCAAGGTATTTTTTTATACTTTCATCTTAGAGTCAGGTAGTAAACAGGAAGAGACAGTTGGATCACAAAGAAACCAACTCAAGGGAAATTGGGACAATTTTTTTTTTATATGACACAGATCTACTGATAGGTACTTACGAGTAGCATGGCTGGACTTAGAATACTCCAGCATAGCTGCCAATAGACGCTAGGCGTTCGGCCTATCATCGTACGAATGTCGCTAGTAAAGTTTTGAAGTCCGTAGAACCATGTGATTGAAATAGCTTCGAGAACGACGACGAGGAGGAGAGTGGTTGAGGCGCCGTAGCTCTCTAATAACTGAAATACATACTGACCGCCCTGCATGGTGATAGAACAATTAAAATTATATTATATATGTGTGTGTGGGGGGGGGGGGGGGGGAGGGGGACGGGGGTGCTGCGATGTGAATGCGGGCGTGGGTGTGTGTGCCTGCATGTGTGTTGCCAGTCTTATTTACATCTCATTACTAACTGAAGTAATTCTGTGGCGCATAAGTCATATTATTTTAAATTTAGGAAAACAGCATTTTAGACCCTCAAACTCCTCCTGTCATCATTGTTACTTTCTAAATGGTTACCTATACCAATGCCATGATCATTCTTTGCCACGCCTACACTTAAACTTTGAAGTATACAATGTTCCTTATGAGACGAACAACATAAACACTTACGTAAGTAACCGTCGTAAGTGAGCCGAGGAAGATAAAACACACAACGCAAGCAACGAAAATTTCCCGATGTTTACCGATCGTCTTCGGATTGCGATCACACCAAGCTGTAATGATCGATTCCAATCCACCGAACTGCAAGGAGAATTAGAAACAAAACAGTCAAATCAAGTTCCAATAAATTGAAAAGTAATGGCTAGCAGTTTTATAGTTTTCTGGTTCAAGAAGTCGTAAGCTAGTGCTGTCATGATAGAGGTTTATATAGACGGTGGTTTTCTGATATTTGTAGTTGTCAGGGGAGTGTATTTGGCGAGTATTTTTTTTTTTTTTTTTTTTGGGGGGGGGGGGGGTGGCAATGTGGGGATGGTAGTTCGGGCAATGTATTCCAGATACAATAGTTTGAGTAATTTCAGTCAAACAGATTATATTTTTCTGTGTGAAAATCCTTTTCTTTAACAAAATAGTGATAAACTTTGCATCCCCTTTATTTTGTGTAGAGCCAAACCTAGCTAATTCCGATGACATTGACATAATGTATTAAATGGCATACTTACAGTGCTATCTAGGCCTAGTGAGATGATCATAACAAAAAAGATGACAGCCCACCAGGTTGAGCCTGGTAACTGACTGATAGCTTCAGGGATAGCGATGTAGATGAGCCCAGGTCCTGTTCATAATCAGAGGGGTAATGTTTAGTCGTGCAGTGGTAATGGAATATCATCAGGTGTTCTAACCAAAAAAGCGACAACTTTAATGCATGTGTCGATCCACAAAGCATAAGAAAAGTATGATCTTTCGTCAAGGAGGATTATGTTTTCAAGCTTCATTACTGGTATTGACAGAACATATACATTAGATGAAATACCTCTACCAAAAGACTCTTATAGAAAATGCAAAGTAGAAATGATCAAAGGATTATAAGGAAGTGAGCTTGTTAGTCGTGAGCATAATTATGTGCAGGCTACGGGTGTGCAAAAGTGAGTTATTGTTATCCGATGTTTTCATCGGTTTTGTTGCTGGTCCGAAACCCCTGACTTCTACATGAAATACAAACATGTTTTTCTGGAAATGCAAGTCAAAAACTAGACACAAGACGAGGTTTGAATTTGATCCAATGCAGAATGTACTAACCATCAGGTGTTACTTCTTCAATATCTCGCCCCTGTTGGACAGACATGAAACCCAGCACAGAAAATATGGCGAAGCCAGCTAAGAAGCTGGTAAAGCAGTTGATACCACTCGTAATCAGCGCATCCCTGTAAATACAGAGAACATCATAGTTCGATCAGTCAAGTTAGTGAGTTTGTCTTGAACAATTCCCATTGTAAGGTTTCAGGTTAATCCAAATTTAATCCGATTTAAGCAGAAGATCATAATAATCATAAGGGAAATAGAAAAGGGCATGTCAAAACATGAAGATAGAGAATATGTATCCCAATTCATCCTAACTAAACAAAACACGTGTACCGCCAAGCATTGACATTACGCTTAATCAATGCAGTAGAACTGCCTCCATCGAGATATAGCAGTGTATAAGGTTTATATGTGATCCTAACCAAGCAAAAGTCATGTTTTTATCATGTTATCCTCCTCCTCATGAAATAAATCGATTTCCCTTATAAGATAAAGTTGTATCACATTCATCAAGCTAACATGAAATACAGGAAATGTATATCAAGACTTACTTGAAACAGTTGTTATGGAGTTTATTATAACTAGAGAAAGCAAGAATAACGCCGAAGCCTGGACCAAGCGAGAAAAACACTTGGACAGCAGCATCAACCCATACCTGAAAGATAAACAGATATAGCGTGAATAATATAACAGTGGGGATAGAATGTAGTAATAATGTCATTCACGATCAAATTGTTTTCAGCTGTCTATATCTTTTTTATTTGCTATTTGATTTCGGACGAAAATTCTGATTTGAAACATGCCATGTCATTTTAAATAGATTGGATAATACAGAACATTTGATAAAAACATAATACCGGATAAAAACAGCAGTGGCTAAATAATACCAGTTTGGTGGAAAAGAAAGAGGAATTAAATGAGAAGAAGAGAGCAAACCAGAATGAGAACGAACCTTGTGATAGCGATAGGTGGAGAGGCGAGAGAGAGAGAGAGAGAGAGGGGGGGGGGGGGGTGGTGAAGGGCATAGGCGCCGGAAGTGGGGGGGGGGGGGGGCAGGGAGGCAGTTGCCCCCCCCCAGTCAAAAAAGTGGGGGGCAAAACGCATTTTTGCCCCCCAAAACGCCCCCCCCCCCTTCCAAAAAAAAAAAAAAAAAAACAGTAAAGGAGTAAACATGGTTTGTATTTTTAATCCAAAAGAACGTAACAATAATAACAACTTGAATTAAATCACATATACAATTCCATTCAGAGAAAAAGGTAAGTTTACGGGAATTAAATTTCATAAACATTGCGCGTGCCACCTATACGGTATTTATCAATGGAGGTCTCTATAATGGCGATACGCACATATGGTGGACATATTGTGCGAGAATGGGAAAGCGTGTCCATTTGTTTGTTATAGGGGTGGGAAGACATGAGCCCCTGAACGCTGGCGTACAGATGGGGGGGGGGGGGGTGTATTTACTTATTCGAAACAAATGATTTACAAATGTTGATGTTGTGACATGATTTTCCGGCATTTTTCTCCTTTTTTTGTAAGTCATACCTTTTTATGCGTTTGTTGGAAAATAAGAAATTCCCAAAATACAGTCAGGCGAAAAGACGCTTATTTGGAAGCCTTTATGTCATGGTCTGCAAAGTGGCTGGGCTCGAGCCCCCCCCCCCCCCCCCTCCTTTTTGAAAAAGTATGTTAAAGAGAAAAAGAAAGAAGGACGGAGACAGAAATAAATGACCTGCCAATGTCACAAATAAGGAATAAAAGAGAAAAATCCCCATCTGACCGTAATTAAATGCTTAAAACCCCAGAGCGTACGGGGGCTCTACCCCCTGGACTCCTACCAAGGGCCCTAAGGCGGGCCCCTGGATGCTCATCTGACCGTAATTAAATACCTAAAACCCCTGAGCTTCCTGGGGGCTCTGCTCCTTGGACCCCACCAAGGGCCCTAATGCGGGCTCCTAGATGATCATCTGACCGTAATTAAAAACCTAAAACCCCTGAGCTTCCGGGGGCTCAGCCCCTGGACCCCACCAAGGGCCCTAAGACGCCTCTGGATGCTCATCTAACCGTAATTAAATACCTAAAACCCCTGAGCTTCCGGGGGCTCAGCCCCTTGACCCCCTGCCGAGGCTCATGCCCTGGACCCCATGCCAATTTACGCTCTACCTGATCGATAATACTCCACTTTGGAAAACGTTCCGCGGGACCTGCATCTAACGTGTAAGACTGGTGGTGATGCAGATTTTTCGTCTGCCCCCCCCTTCCGACCTTTTTTTCTCATTACGTCACTGCCCCTGGAAGGTGAGCCCCCTGGAATGTTTGCCCCCCCCCCCCCCAATCCCAAACTGCTTCCGGCACGCCTGGTGGACGGGTGTACGTACCCCAGCATTTCGTAGAAGATGCCATTTAGGTTTGAGATAGTAGATGATGCCTGATGAAGCGCCCTCTAGTGTCACTCCTCGAATGAGAAGAACGATGAGACAGAAATATGGAAGAGTAGCTGTCACCCAAACCACCTAATAAAATAACATACCAAGAAAGAAAATGTATGATGGAGACAGTTTAAATACCACATCATGTGATCATTGCAATCATTACGTTTTACCAGCTGTAATCATACAACTATTTTGTCTTTATTGTTTCTACTACTGCTATGCTTGTCATTCAATATCCAGGGGGTTAGAGGGTGGTGGATTGGGCTTCAGCCCCAGCTCCCACACCCCCGAGGACTCTGGAAGTTTTATATTTTCTGGAAACGAGTCCCTCATATTAGGGCTACGAGTCGCCCCCAATCCTAATACTTTGGCAGCGAGGTATATAACTTGTACATCTTATCTGACTTCTTATACTATTTGACTATTTCCGCTAACTGATAATTTGTGATTGAAACTCATTTTTGTGGATACGGAAAGACATAATACGTGAAACACATTACCTTTCCTGAAGCCTTGATGCCTTTCCAAATACTGAAGTAAACAATGACAAATAGAAGGAGGAGACAAAGAGCGAGCTCCCACTTTAATCCTCCAAGATCACCGATACCAGTTGAGAGATGAGATCCAATAACTTTACGTCTAAGTGCCATAAACAAAATATATTAAAATGCAATTCAGTTTGCGATAAGTAAAGATAGCAAAGGTATATGATATATTGTGTATGTAAACTTATTTTGATTCTTTGTACGTTTGTAAAATGTGAGCAAAACAAATTTCCAATATTGGACAATAAATTGAAATTGAAATGAAATTGAATTGAAATTGAACGTCAGCGAGGTCTTATTTTTTTAGCAACAACAATAAGTCATTCTTACTAGGTGATACATTTATTAAGACACATAACACTTTCAAACAAAGTTAATAACATTTGTGGACTGACAATAAGAGTAAACTCTTAGGGGAACCTATAATCTACTGTACAAGCTGAGCTTTTTAATAGGTTCCTCACATTTCACCCTGTATAATCTACTATTCAATACAATTAGTTTCGACGTCTTTACAAAGAATTGATTGTATAATGTGATACTTTTAGTATATTTCATATTATGTTCTAATTTCGTCAATTATGTAAATTCTTTTTTGTGAAATGTGAAACAAAATAAACTTGAAAAACTTGAACTCACTCAAAGAACTCAGTGGCAGGGGTCACGCTTGTGTTACTGAAATTCTCTGCAAACGGACTGGCACAAAACTCAGTGTTCCAATCATTATCACAGCTCGTCCATGGGAGTGTTGTAGCGAATGACGCAATGAGGTAATAGACAGACCATGCAGTGATGGTCGAATAGAAGAACCCCACATAGCAGTTAATGATGCAGATTGCATAGCCGATACCTATAGAAATTGAATGGTCGAAATATCCTCAATTACCATCTCAGTCGACTTGTATGATAATCGTAAAATCATCATCGTCATTCCTATAACGAGAATAATTCATCACAACTTCCACTGTAATCACCGTCGTTATCATTATCTTTTCCCCTCGACAATCATCATGAACATCGTTATATTTCTTATTATCATTATGAATATCATCATCGTCGACTTCATCATGATCACTCCTATTGTCACATTCATCGGCATTATTATGGTCAACACTGCTATTCTTTTCGTTTACTATCACAATACCATCCATTATGATCATAATCATTATTGTTAATCATGTTTATTCATCACTATCATCATTATCACCATAATCATCATCATCATCATTATTGATCATTTTCTCTTACCTCCCATGATAGGGCATATTCTCCTCCAGACTGTAATGCATCCTGTTCTTTGGTACTGCCCTAGAGCCATCTCCATGTACAGGAATGGTACTCCACCAAAGATAGCCATCAACGCGTATGGCACTAAGAAAGCACCTGTAACCATGACAACTAAAGTTCATAATGGTCTGCTATAATATTGTCAAACAAGTACAGTTAAAACAATCCTAACTAGAGCTTCCATTTATTAACAAAAATATATATTCATATTCTGCTCTTGACAAAAAAGTCTACCTTCAAACTACCTTCTGATGACTTGCTATAAACGAAAGCTCTTTAAAAGATACATGGGTTTGATAGATGAACGACATTCTTCATTTATAAACTCTATCAGGATAGATTTTTTTCTTCAATCTCTTATACTCCGTGGGATGACAGGTGATGCAGATGCTTGAAACTTATAGATTCATATCTCCTCTTTTCAGACTTTTAGAAGTATGTTTAATTTGTCTCAATCGATTGATAATGGAACGAATCTTCATAATCTATAACCCTCCTGATTGCCATCGTATCAAATCTAAACGAAATACGTGCATTTAAATGCAGATTTACGGCAATTTCTGTGCTTAAGCTAGTGCTTGGAACCATCGTAAATGCGACGTACAGTCATTAATACTTTCATTATTAAGCTGACCAATTGTTACCAATTGTTAAAAGAGTTGGATTCCACGTTATGATATAACGAATATAAGATGCATATTGGACACAAATTACGTGACTAAAAGTGAAAGGCGCCCATGACTCTCTTGGTAACAAATTGGTTCAACCGCATTGTCAAGTAGGCCCTTGGTAGTTCACAGCAATAGATATTCTTTAGCGTTCAGTTTTAATTGGAATTAATTGTACTCATGGGAGTATTACTCTGTATTACGCTCGTGAACCTGATAGGCAGGGCATGAATATTATTATTTATTAATAGATCCAGCCACTACAGACATGCAGCAATTATGTCCAGATTATGTTAAACTCATTATAATGATATAATTGTTTGAATGGATAAAGGGATGGGGGGGGGGGGTGTTTTTAGATTTCCAATGATGTTTGTATAAAACATAAAAACAAAACTGAAACGAAAGAAAAGGGAACAAGTGAAATCAATTATTGAGTGAGGATCTCTCATTTATTTGGATGATTTCAGAGTGTGGCTAAAGATTTGAACAATCCTCCGGTAAAATCACAATTGATCATGACAAAAGTATTAATTCTTGTACGTGTTTATACAAAATTCTCACTAGGTTTGTGAATTCAGAAGCAATTTGTTACTATGTGTCTGACTGCCATTCCCGACTCCAATCAGTGGCAAATTTATAAAGACATATTAATATCGATCGCGGATATTGAGTACTCACTAATATGGCATTTTATATCATATGCAAGAAAGAAAATCAGCAAGTAGCGTTCACACCCGTTTACGTACGCTTAATTTTGTGGCTTTTCAAATATATTTTTTCAATAAAGTTCAAACAAACAAAGATACCACCTCAATTTGATAGGAGGACCTCTTCTGCAGTGCGCAACATGTGCAAATGAAATCGCTCATGCAGGACATTCCATTGCATCTCATATCCCTGAACGTTACTTTATGAAATCCTAATTAATCATGTTTATCATGTGTGATCTATGACAACTAGCATAACAGCGAACGAATAAATTGGAATATGAAAAGAATAGTTATGAACTGTGCTAGCAATATTTCAATTCTTTAAATGATATTAGACTTATCATCACATGGTTTTATCACGATGACTTCGTTTCAATTGAAAACACAATGGTATTACAAAAGTTCCCCTACTTCAGTATTTCCAATGATTATCTTTTAGGGAATAGCAACTAATTGCTGTTTCTGTGAAGCGGTTTATTGCTTCTCCGTTCTTTTATAAATGTTGGGACTGAAAGCAGGTTTCCTTTGAAGAAAGTTTTAACATTGCCACATTATAAAATAATCAGGTATTGTGTTTAAACGCGGTGTACTGTGAAGAGGACTGTCATTAGCTCTCTTTGTCTAATTCATCTAAGAATTTAAGAATGTGATTTCTTCGATTGTCCAAACCTCCACCACCTCCTCTAAATAAAGGGTGTCTTCTTTTCATGGTGCACTTATTTTTCCTGTTTTAACAGATTTATATTAACTGTGTAAGATTTTAATATAAGTTCTTTATATCATAAACCACTGGTTCTATTAAAAATACTCAGGAATATTTCATGCAAAAATTTCGGAGCTATATTATGATCCTGTGGATATGATAAATTATGTACTTTGTGTTCAAATCGTTAGTCGTATATATCACACCGGAGTGTTGGCTCAGTCAGCAGAGCGTCCGCCTCACAACCGGGAGGTCGTGGGATCAATCCCCAGCCGCGTCATACCAAAATGGGAGTTGCTGCTACCTTGTTTTGCGTTCAATTCAACAATAAGGGATAGAGCAACATCGATCTGGCGCTGCTCAGTGGCTGCCGGGCTCACGATCAATTGGGCAAAAAGAATTTTCATTTCGGTTGAATAAAATTTGGAGTGGACTAAAAGATTATTTATTTATTATTTTTGACAGATTCTTTTCCTAAAATATTATTTGTGTTTTTTCACGCTCACATCTTTGGCTGAAATATAGGCCTAACACTATAAATTCTTATTTAGAGTAGAATGCATCATGATAATTTGATGTGGTAGAAAACAATATACAATGAAGCTTATATCATCAAGACTTTGTAAGGTTACTTTTTGATTAAGTGCTCCTATTTGATCGATATTATGACCATTTTCATTATCAAAATGTGGTTTATGTCTTAGTTTGTGGTCGTGGTATTATAAAACGTAATCGATACAAAAACATGTTGTAGATGTAGCAAAATCATAGTTGTAAGCATCAAGGAAATCAACGATTATAATGTAAGAGTGTAAATGAAGAAATCTCAACTTAAAAAAAATTGTGGAGAGAATGTAATGTGTAAAGGATGCAACTTGGCCTGCATCATCTAGAAGTCTCTTTAAAAAGGAAATCTTGCCCTTTGTCTTTTAGTAATCATTCTGTACTTCATCATTTAAGACTAAAATATAAAAATAAAAGAATATCGACCTACCTCCACCATTTTTGTAACAAATATAAGGAAATCTCCAAATGTTTCCGAGGTCGACTGTGAAACCGATGACGGAGAGTAGAAAGTCTGCTTTCTTTCCCCATACTGCTCGTTCTGGTGTCGGTCCATCGATGTCATCTCGTGGTTCATTGGTGTCGTATGTGATTCTATTATCCCCATTCAATCCACGGTACCCATTCTCAGCCCGCTGGGATAAGGCTTCCACATTAACTACTGGTGGTGGAAAACCGAGAACATGTGTCTCTTTTCCTGATTGGGGCCAAGTTTTACCAGGCATGTTGAGTTTGCTTTCACTTTGGTCCAACTGAACAATATTATCTGGGCTCTGTGGTTCAATGAGTGAAGTGAGAGCAGTCTCCATCGTATCCATCGTCGTCTTGATTGTTGACGTGATCGTCTTGGGCTCCGTTGGGAGTGAGATAATTACCCTTGATATCGATGTGTCTCCTTTCTCACTTTTAGATGAAAGAGTGAGAGGTATAACACCTTGCGTGTTGCTAAACATCGACGAATCATCTTTACCATGAGAACAGAACGGTTTAATTGATGGCTCCGCCTCCTCCTTCCTTGTGATGCATACGTCATCAATGGAAATGAATCGAAAGGCTTCATTTTCCATTATTTGGTCACTTCAAAGCTGCCAATCATACAAGATTACGAAGAGGAAGGAAACTTCAGAAATATCGTGCAGTTCACCTACAGCAAAGTAAGAGAAAGTAGGATACGAGATGTAGATGAGTGTCCTAATCAACCTTGGATCATTAAGGGATATAGGGTACACGGGAGACATATTAAACACCTAATCATCCAACCTTCATTCTCTAATGAGCAATTAAGATATTGTGTGGATCTTCATCATTTTGGCACCGATCCCTTCACTAAATGAACGTCTACATTTAAGGAGTCCAAACAACGCATGCAATCAGTTAGCCTACATGATTCAAAGTTTTTCTACCATTTCAAATCTGAAAGTTGTTCGACTTACCTTAGTACTTTATAACTGGACGACTGTTTTAATGGAATCCAAAGCTACTGACACCACTCAATAGTCTTCCTTCCAACCAGCTTTGTTTTTTGTAAATACATAAATACCTACTACATAACAATAATAAACTAGGAGAGAAAGATGGCGCCCTACTAAGTCAAACCGTATTTTTTCTCATCGTGGAAAATTTCTGTAAGATAATTTAAAAATGAGTGGAAAGAAAAGACAGATGGACAAAATGGACGTTTCACCAAGGATTTCCCAATACTTCACCCCTTCTGGCTCAATTTCAGGCAGAACAGAGATGGATATCGATGAAAACTCGGGCATTCAACTTGAAAATCTCACTCAGCAGTCAGTGCTTACTGGAACCAGCGAAGCAGGCCAGGACTCGCAGGAGTCGCACCCCCAAGTTGTCGGGGGAAAGGAGAAGGAAAAAGACGAAGACGAACCGCGGGCAGAGAAGAAGCGAAAGATCAATGGAGATCAAAAGGTGCAGGCAAGTACAACCACTGAAGATTTACTAGCAAAGCTTCTTGACAGAATGGATCAAATGAACTCAAAATTCAATGACATAGTGGCCAGATTAGACTTATCCCTTACTCAGATTGATAACAATAAGAGAGAGATAGAAGAAGTGAAGGAAAAGCAAGAAGGGATTGAGTTTGACATTGGTTCAATCAAAGAGAAATTGCACGCACAAGAAAAGGAGAATGAGAAGTTGCGCGAACGTCTGACAGACCTATCCGCCAGGGGAATGAGAAACACACTTGTGTTCCAAGGCTTTCCAGAGGGTGCTGAGAACAAGAATTGTGAAAATTTGATCCAGTCATTTGCCAAGTCGCATTTGCAGATTGAAGCTGAAGTAATCATCGAAAGGGCACATCGCAGCGGAAGCACCTCATCACCTCGACCAAGGCCGATTATTGCAGCCTTCAATCGGTACTCGACCAAAAGTATGATCCTGGTAAATGCACGTCGCTTCTTGAAGGAGAAACCCTTTGAGCACAATGGAAAGCATCCTATTTACGTGGATGAAATGTTGCCTAAGGAAATTCGTGAACAACGGAAGAAGCTGATTCACATCAAGAAGAAGCTGAAGGAGGAAAATACAAGGAGAGCAGTGTACTTCAAGTATCCTGCTCGCATCTTCTACAAAGAAGGAAAAGACGGGAAGGAGAAAGAATACAAGATGAAATAACTCAAAACGTCAAAGGAAAGAAAATATTATCATTCCACATCGAAATGCTGGAAACATTAAAAAAACAAAAACATGAATAATGTTATAGAGCTGGACTTACCTTGCCTACTTAAAAACAAGAAGAAAAGTGAAAAAGGAATACTTAGATTAGGTTAATGACAAGAACTTAACTCTGAGAGTGAACTTTTATAGGTGAATATGTGGAAAAAGCACTCAAAGGATAAAAGGAAAGACCACGATGTAGAGCGCCACCTTGATCTCCCTAAGGCATACAGAAGAACTAGCCTTTGTTATGATTTGTTTTTTGTGTTGTTTGTTTGTTGAACCTGAATGTTTAATATATGTTAAACCTGATCTTATAATGGTGGTATTTCTAAGTAATTCATATCTCAACTATGGATTTGAAGCTGATGACACATAATGTTAACGGATTGGGGGACTTTAAAGCAAGGAAACGTTATTTTAATTATATGCTTAAACAGAACAAAGATATTATCCTTTTACAGGAAACTCATTCTGTAGAAAAGGAAGAATCATTATGGAGAAATCAAGTTAGATCTGATATTATTTTCAGTCATGGAACTTCTAAGAGCAGAGGAGTATGCATTATATTAAGAAAGACACCCGATTTTAAATTGTTAGACTCCATTAAAGATATAATGGGACGATTTTTATTGGTAAAAGTTGAAATTCAGAAGAAAGTTTATGTGATATGCAACATATATGCACCAAATAATGAGAAGGATCAGGTTGAGTTTTTTAAGAAGGTAGAATTGACCATACAAGATAACGTTGAAAATGAGGAAATTCTAATAATTGGTGGGGACTTTAATTTAATTCAAAACCTTGATCTGGACAGGGCAGGTGGCTCAATGAAAAGCATTTGGAAGCACTCTGTGAATCTTATAGAAAATCTGAAAATATATTTTGGTTTGGTTGATGTTTGGAGAATCAGAAACCCCTGCAAAAAAGGATTTACATGGAGAAGGTATAACCCACTGGTGCAATCTAGATTGGATTTTTGGTTAATCCATGAATCCTTACAGAATACAATTAGTGAAAATGATATCATACCGTGTGTTTTGTCTGATCATGATCATGTTAGTTTGCACATGAAAATTAAGACAAAAAATTCTGGTCCGTCCTACTGGAAATTTAACAATAGTCTATTGAATGATGTTGAGTATGTTAATGCTTTAGCTAATAAATACTCAGAATGGATTGGTGAGTTTACAGATAGTTATGATAAAGGAGGGCTATGGGATTGGTTAAAGTTTAAAATTAGAGAATTTACTGTACCATTTTCTAAGAAGAAGAAATGTGAAAGGGAAGAGAAAAGAAAGGCTCTTGAAAAAGAATTGAAAAAATTAGATGACAGGATGGCAGCAGAAGATATAGATGAAGAATTAATGAAAAAGAAAAGGGAAATAGAACAGGAGTTGTTTAAAATATATGACTATTTTGCAGATGGGGCAATCTTGAGGTCAAGGTGTACATGGTATGAGAAAGGGGAAAAGAGTACTAAATATTTTTTGTCATTGGAAAAAGGTCAAGCAGCAAATTCCAATATTGATGTTTTGATTTCAGATGTAGGACGTATTGATAAACAGTCTGAAATACAGGATTTCATTAAGATATCATATAAAACTTTGTTTGAGAACAAAGATAAGGTGGAAGATGAGGTGAGCAAAGATTACATAAGTCAGAGTAACATCAAGCAACTCACAGACGAAGAAAGAAATTCATGTGAAGGAAATATCACTTGCTCTGAAGCTAGGGCAGAATTGTTGAAAATGGCTAGAAATAAAACACCTGGGAACGATGGGTTAACTGTGGAGTTTTATGAGATGTTTTGGCCTTTGATATCAAAAGAAGTTATTGATTCTTTCAATTTTGCATATGAAAATAGTGTAATGTCTGTGTCACAAAGACAAGGTACAATTAAACTCATCCCTAAGCCTGAAAGAGATAAACACACACTGAGCAATTGGCGTCCCATAACTCTTTTAAATGTAGATGTTAAAATACTTTCTAAATGCTTGGCAAAGAGAGTTGCTAAGGTGATAGGAAAGTTAGTAGATAGTCAACAAACTGCCTTTATTAAAGGCAGATACATAGGGGAAGGAATAAGATTAATATCAGACCTCTTACAATATACTAAGGAGGAGAATTTGAGAGGTATTATGCTAGCCCTTGATCTATCAAAAGCATTTGATTCAATAAGCCACAGGTACATGCTAAATTGTTTAGAAGCGTTCAATTTTGGACCATCTTTCATACAATGGGTTAGAACATTGCACACTAATATAAGTAGTTGTGTATTGGTGAATGGATTTACCACTGGATATTTTCCAGTGTCTAGAGGAGTCAGACAAGGTGATCCTCTGGCTCCTTTACTGTTTATACTGAGCTTGGAAGTTGTTCTTACAAGACTTAATAATAATGATAATATTCAGGCTTTTGAATTTAGTGGAAAACAAATCAAGTATACAGCATATGCTGATGACATAACTTGCTTTTGTAGGAATATACAATCAATGAAGATGGTTTTCAAAGTTTTTGAAGAATTCTCAATAATATCAGGTCTTTATTTGAATAAAACAAAAACGGAAGGTATATGGGTTGGGAAAGATAGGCACAATGGAGAAAAAACAAATGATATACATTGGGCAGACAAAAGCATAAGAATTTTAGGCATTCATTTCTCATATGATCAGGAAGTAGTCAGGAAACTGAACTTTGATAAGAGACTGGATGAAATAAAATGTACTTTCTTAAGATGGAAGAATCGGGGGTTAACTTTAATAGGAAAAATTCAACTGTTGAAAACATTTGTTATGTCTAAGATTATGTATATTGTTTCCAATATTGAAATACCCGATGATTTTGTTAAGGAGGTTGAAAAGTTGATGTTTCACTTTATATGGAAAGGTCCAGATAAGATATCACGGGCAACAATGATTGCAGATTATACTGAAGGTGGTCTTAAATTCCCGAAACTAAAATGCATGATAGAGACACAGCTGGTTAAGTGGATTCAGAGATATTATACAGAATCAGATCATCGTTGGAAGTTGTTCTTTGACCACTATAGTAAACGATTTGGTGGAAAATTGATTTTTATGAGTAATTATTCTATGAACCAGTTGAATTCTCTTGGAATTCCCATATTTTATCATAACTTGTTGTTAGCATGGTCCAAGACAAAGGAGTATAATCAATTTGTTGATGATCAAGGAGCCCAAGCAAGTGTACTTAGTCAAATTGTTTGGAACAATCAATATGTTCTTATTGATAATAAATCAGTTTACTGTAAGGCCTTTCATGAGGCAGGTCTATGTTATGTATATCAACTTTTTG